ACCCAACTAAAGAAAAACACCCCCCTCCTCACTCCCCCCCGCAATCCTCTTCCGACGAGTATTTAAAAACAACTCCACCATCTTCCGACTACCCATCGCTTGCGCATCACTCTCACTCATTTCACCGATACCCCCTGCAACCCCAACCGCTCCAACCATTCTACCCTCACATCCTCCTCCTCCTCCTCCTATTCCACCTTCCCTCCCATCAGAGGGATCATTCAAAGAAAGAGGAATCGGAATCGGATCCACAATCGGATTCAAAATCCCCTTCCCATTCCCCTCCCCCTCATAAAAATCCTCCAACGGACTCCCCGCCCCAGCTCTCTCAAAATCAAGGTCTCGAAGGATCTTCTCACCACCAACAACTTCACTAATCGCAGAACCAAGATCCGTACCAGACCTCTCACTCCTACGCTCACGTTCACGCTCACAACTCTTCCCCCTCTCACCCATCACTTGACCCGACCTCTTCCTCCTCACCAACTTCGCCGTAAGCCTCGGTGTCTGACTTTCTTTCTGCATCTGTCCTTGTACAGGAATATGCCCAGACACACCACAATCCACAACCTTCGCCTCGGACCCATTAAAACTCCTCACACTCCTAAGACTAGCCTTAGAAACGTGTTTCTTATGGAGGACATTCCGGCCGTGGCTGCGTCCCATACTCCCAGACGCACTCCCACTCCCAGTACCAGATACCGTATTCGATAGAGTATTCGAATTCGTCTGTTGAGTTGTCGAAGTCGAACTCGCACCAGCACCACCAAAAGCACTCATCCCCGCACCCATCAAGCCAGCAAAGCCCGAGCCCAAGGAGGAGGCAGGAACACCAGTAACAGTCACCACACTCCTGAGACTATTCCTACTCTCCACAGCCCTCAAAGGGTTTCGTCCAGGGATAGGAGGAGGTATCGGCGGGGGTGGAGGAACATACGCAGTCACATCTCTAATACCACTACCATTCTCCCTCACAAGCGGTGTATTCCCACAAGACAACGGGGTATTCCCCCTCGCAATCGCGTACCCCGAAGCATTTCCACTGGTCTCAACCAAAGAAACCGAGCTCTTATTCTTCAAAATAGGCTTGAGGAACGGTCGTGTGACATTTCCATCTTGATTCTGGTTCTGGTTTAGAGGAGGATAGACCATCCCGACCGGCAACCTCACACCAATCTTCCCACTCGGCGCAATCTCCACGTCCTCATCGTCAATCTGTGCGCTTTCCCTGAGATGTCCCACCACCGTGGTCGGTTGGTAAGCTTTCGGGATGGTGTAATTGATATACGGCTTTGCATTGGCATTCGTCGCGGTAGTGCTATTGCCATACCCCGTCGTCGAAAAAGGGGGAGCAGGAGCCCGATGATTTTCTTTCCCCCTTTCTAACTTCGCAACCTCACAACTCATCCACCGCTTCCACTCATTACTGCCCGCGGAGCTGGAAACACTATGACAACTGCCACCACCGGTCCGTCGATTCAGCGAGCGATAGGTCGAGCGGTCAATAATCACGACATCGCCCTTACTACTCTCCTGCGATAACTTTGAAGTGTCAAGCTGCTGTTCCGTTTCCCGCTGTTCATGTTGATCAATTAACAAACTCAGCGCGCTATTCGCAGCAAGCGTCTGTCCACTGGTAGTCCTCGAGTACAAGGATACGCTATCGGTCTTGTCATCCACCACCTCCTCTGATGAGAACCCACCATCAACAGCAAGGAACATGGATTTCCGACTTGGAGTTGCATTTGGATCTTTCTTCATCGCTGGGGTGCCATCTTTGATTTCGGCTAAAGATTTGCGGAAAGGACTTGTGGTTCGACTTCCGGTCAAGGTACTTCCCCCAAAGAAGGTACTTCTCGACTCTCGAAGACCCTTCTTTGGCGGTTCAATAACGACGGGTTCATTACTGATGGCGATTTCTTGAGGCGTTCTGCCAACTTCTTCAGGAACGGTATAGAAGGATGTTTTATTGCTAGGTTGTTGAATAGAAACCACCGATGTCGACGCATTGGAATATGCTCTATGATGTTGCGGTGCTCGGTGAGCGGGCGTAATGGTCGATTTATCAAAAAACACATCATCGTCCTCACTCCTCATCCTCGCCTCACGAAGAACATCAGCTGGAGCCCATTGATGGGTATGTGTACCTGTAAAGCCAAAGAGATCTTCCGCTCTGGCAGCATGAACGGAATCTGTTTTGACCCATTGATGAGAGTGACCCTCCTCGGAAGGAACATGTCGGATGGTGGAGTATTTCTGGTTTTCTTTCCCATTATTAATAGATGCGCTTCGTCTTGGAGTTCGAAGTGTTTCTTCGCTCGCTTTGTGAGCAGGTTTGTGGTGGGGACCATTTTCATCGAGTCGTTTCATGAGAGCCGAGTATACGCGAGCGCTATCCACCCCCTGAGTGGGAGCTGGGCCGTCTCGGCTAGGTGGTCGGACTAATGGATAAGCCGAGAATTGATTCGTGAGACGTTTTCGTCGGAATGATGAGGAGGATATATGAGTGCCATTCTCATTGATGATAGAAAGGCGTTGTTGTTCTCTTTCGGAAAGAGCACGTGCGGCTTGACTGGTGACCGTATTGGCTGCTGTACTTGTCCAGCTGGTGACGCGGGAGTTGGAGTTATCATCGCTAAGGTCTGTTGTGAAGCTCCTTGCACTACGAAGACTTCCTGCATGCGATCGTAATTTCTCTTTGGAGGGTTGGATACGTATAGAAGGTACGCGAGATGCGACGCGAGATAGTGATTCATCGTCTGGATAAGGGATATCGTTAAAGGCATCTTCATTTGGAGGGCAAGAATATTGTCGAACATGGGTTTCGTGAGCTTCAACCTGTTGGTTGGGGATAGCGATGGGTTCTTCTTTGATGAAGCCAAAGACACGTTTGAGTTTGAATTTGATGGTTTTGGAGGCTTTCCGAGCTTTTTCTCTCAACTTGAAGTTGACCGGAGAGCTGGGGGTAGTTTCATCTTCGGGTAGAGGTGTTGGTAATGGATCACTATTTCCACTGCCGCTACGGACAGATCTTCTGAACGGTTTCTGATCAATGTTCTTTTGAGTTCTTGATCGGAAGAGGAAGGAGGGTTGTTCTCGGAGTCGTTGTTGGGCAGCATGTTGAAAGAAGCGATCACGGGCCATCTGAACGCCCTCGTCGGTTCTATGAGTAAAGCCACCGTCTCTACCGCCACGTAGAAAGCTCATTGATTTCGGGGCTCTCAATGCAGCTTGATAAGGCAGGGCTCGAGCGGTTCGAGTGGTTCGAGAACTGGTAGTACTATTTTGTCGTCCAAGACGAGAAGTTGTTTCCCGCTCAGGTGTTCCATTGCTGTAAAAAACACTCGGAGCTTTGAGAGGACTAAACATAGATTTCGACTTGCGAAGTCGACGATATGAAGAAGGGGTCGAGGGAACTTCAGGTTCGCGTGCGTAATATTCATCGTATGCAGCCAATGCCTTATTGAACTCTGTCGCCGCCGTAGCTTTCCCAAATGAAGCTTTGCCAATCGACGATGAGCGACTTGGAGGACGATATGCTGCAGGTACAGGAGCACTCGTGGTGAAGGCAACGGGTTTCAGTGTCGCGGTACTAGCTTTGGGTTGTATGGTATGTCTGTTATTCGTCGATTGACGTCTCTGAACGGCATTAGGCCCAGCGAAGCGAACACTCTGCTGTCGCTTAACGACATGTTCACCGGTAAAGGAGGAATCGATGGGTTGCGAAGAAGACTGTCTCTCATAATTGGATGTCTGAACCCTCGGTGTTTGTTGTCCGCGGCTGTAGCATAAATCAGCGTTGGTTCTTTCCTGTGCTCGAGCAAAAGCTAACGTTGCTGCGGCGTGGGCGTGTTGACGAGCAACCTCGGGGTCGATGGATTCATGCTTGCTATGAACTGAGGATGTGGATTTGCTTCGACCGAGCCGGGTAGAGCTGTTTCGTCGGAACATCGTTGTAATGCTTGCAATGATTTTTCTGATTCGTTCAGGAGATGAAGTAATTGAAATTAAAACGGGTAGAATGCAATACAGCCTTTGGTGATACTTTTCTGTGCACAGTATTAACCAAAAGTGAGGAAGACGATCCGTACGAAAATGAGAAGAAGAGAGTTGAAAACATGAGAATAGAGAAAAGATGATAGTTCGAAGGAGCCTGCAGTCATTTGCGAGGAAGGGGCAATGGCAATGCATCTTCAAATCGACTTGAATCCAGTAATCGTGACCCTGGAGAACGTGGGAACACGATCGTTCTGGTACTAAAGGAAGGAGCGATCTCACTCGAGGCCATAATTGGGCTCAAAGATAGAGAATTAGCTGCACATCTCTCCTACACGAGAAAATAAAATCATCAGGTGGATGCATACATTGAAATCACTGCAGATACCAAAAAGTTTTCAAAGTATTTGGTCTATTGAATGTTACTACAACAGAGAGACCTTATGCTAACGCAATGAAACCGATCCAACTGCATACAATGAGAACCCGAACCACGACCCATCCATCCAAAAAATGCACACCAAAGGAAAAATGAAAATACCCGGCGAAAGCCTATGTTCCTGCAATATAAGAATTGCATATTATAATTTGCAAATGTGCCATCCCGTACTGCTTACATGTCAAGCTCATCCAAGAACTCAGCGATCTCATGCCCAACCATCTTCTCAATCTTCTTGGAAAACTTCTCAGCCTTGTTCAAAGCTGACTTAGAACCCTTGACGACCTCACCAGAAATGACGTTGAAGTCGTTCTCAATGGCCTCCTCCAACAATTCTATGGTGGATGGAAGCTTGGCCTTGACGGGTGCATCTTGAGCCTTCTTGACGGTGTAGCTACCGGCCTTGATGATAGAGGAGTAGTTGGAAGCTCCACCACCGTTCCATGCCAAGATGTTCTCGGTGTTGGATGGGACATCGGACAAAGCACCCTTGGTAGCAATGCTGATGATGCTCTCCTTGAGCTTCTTTGGAGTCAACTCATCGACTGCGTAAGCGGAGTCGGAAGCAGGTTGGAGAGAAAGGTAGTAGGCCAAGAGACCAGCGATGTGGGGGGAAGCCATGGAAGTACCAGAGATGGTGTTGACGGCATATTTGCTTCCGATCCAGGTAGATTGAATGCTCAAACCTGGGGCAAAGATGTCGTTGCAAGGACCGTAGTTGGAAAAGTATGCTCGGGAATCATCGAGAGCGGAAGCACCAACGGTGATGGCTTGCTCAGCGGCTGCTGGAGAGTAGTTGCAAGAATCGGCGTTATCGTTACCAGCAGCGACGGCAAAGTGGATACCAGCGTTGACGGCACCGTTGACAGCACGATCGAGAGCAGGAGATTTGCCACCACCAAGAGACATGTTGGCAGCAGAGCCCTTGAAGCCCTTCTTTCCTGCCTTGACCTTCTCAGTGTGTGTGTTGGCAGCCCATTCAACACCCTTGACCACATCGGCCATGGTTCCTGAACCGTTGGACTTGAGGACCTTGACGGCGTAGACATTGGCCTTTTTGGCAACACCATACTTGTGACCAGCAACAGTACCAGAGCAGTGAGTTCCATGTCCATTTCCATCCTCATCAGCATCATTGGCTGGGATAGTCTTACCCCAGTGAGCGCGACCCTCGAAGTCAACGTGCTCGGTGTTGGTTCCGGTGTCGATAACATAAACATCGACACCCTCACCAGCATCAGCAGCATATAGGTACTTGTTGAAGTCGCTGAAACCCAAGCTCTCTCGGTGTGAGATACGAGCAAGACCCCATGGGGCGTTCTTCTCTAGCTCTCCAGTATCTTCACCACCTAAGGTGTGAACAATAGAGTCCTTCTCCACATATTCGACCTGAAAGATAACGAGTCAGCTTGGGAAGTCTCGTAACCTGAGTAATGGGAGAGAAAGTTTCCATCACGCGTGCTTTTGCCGCTTTCCAACTTTGAAGTTCGCGGATACCAAGCGGCAGGCGAGGTTGCACCAAATCGCCGATTGAGATACAAGTTACGTGCCCAACGGGGGGAAAGGGAAAAAACAGATGCATGGGTTGGAGAGTGAAGATTTGGAGTACTTACATCAGGATGTCTTCGGACCTTCTCAATGACAGAGTCATCAAAGTGGCCGGAGTAACCCAAGAAGTCGCCAGCGATGTTGTATGTGTGTTTGAGACCCTCAAAGATGTCGGTGGTGAGGGGGAATTGTGATCTCTTTCTCAGCTCTGTTCGAACGTTCTCGCTCTCATCATGGACGCTCTGCACCCAGCTGTGGTGGTCGGAAGCCTTGGCCTCGGTGACGTGCTTTTTGAAGACGACGATGTAAGAGTCTGGGATGGACTCGGCATTCGAGGATGTGAGGATAGGAGCGGCCCCATCGTGGATGGTTTCAGTGCTCGCAGTTGGAGCTGCTGCTGCCAGCAGAGGGAGAACCGACCAGGCGATAAGCCCACGCATGATGAAGAAGGAGATGGGGAGTTTCGAGGAGGATAAGGAGGATGAGGTTGTTAAGATGTTCGGTCTGCCGGCGACTCTGGACAAGCTAATGAAAGATGCAGGAAGTAGGGCGATGAGTGGTGGGTGATCAAGACAGTTGTAGGTGCTGTCTGTCAAAGTTGGTGTTGATGGAAGAAGGAGAGAGAGAGAGAGGATAGGATGACGGCGAGCTCAAGTAGGTTGCGATGGGTCTTGGCGATGGTTACGAAGCCGAGCTGTTGCCAGCCCGCCTACGGATACATACCCTGGCAGTAGAGGATCCACAAGGAACCTGGGCAGTGGGCAGGTGATTCACGGGGGCGGAGTTGTGCCTGATTCGCTGCGGATCCCTACCCGCAGGTAGATAGAGGAATGGGCTGCCGTATTATTGTTATCTCTCTGCAATCGGTCTGGGGGAGAGACAAGCGATGCAAGTCCGCAAGCACCGCATGAGAGTTGTGAACCGTCAGAGGTGTCACCGATGTACACAATCACTATTGTCATTGGAGGTTGAGGTTACCTCTACAGTGATTCCCAAGATCTGCCTCGACACATTGAAAGAACATTATGTTTCTGATGTGGCACCGAGTGTCAAAGTCGTCCAAATATTGAGTACGTAAGGTACGAGTACCGAGGGTCCTAAGGTTGCCATATGAGCTACGGCAGCCTTGAGCCTGCGAGCTGCCAGAACGTCATGCCTGGAGCTGATGGAGCTGATTGATGCTTCCAGGTTCCCCCGGAGCTATGGCAAGCTCCAGCGCCGCAACCGGGCTCGTCCACCCCACAACTTTCACAAGTACGGAGGACCATCCCAAGGTACCCGGAGGAGGGCACAGCAGGAGCATGAACATGAGCATGAGCATCACTCGAAAGCCGGTGAGAGCTGTTCCCATACGAGACACCTCTCCTACTTCTTTACCTACCTCGTAGTTGTTCAAGACATGATACTCTGGTGGAGAGGTGGTGTTCGAACCTATCAGTACTCCCATCCAAACTCAACGGTCTTTAATTGAGCTGCAGCGGGCCGCATGACATTGGCTCCAGAGTCAGGCGGATAAGGTTACAGGCGTGGGGAGCGATGTGCTTGATGCGATGGCGAACTTGGAGATCCAATGGCGTATGACTCGAAGCTCCATTGGAAGCCCTGAAGCCTCCAGCTAACCCCGGAAGGGCAGATATTCACGTGCTCGAGAACATCTCGAGCACCCGGACAGCTTGGTTCGGTAGGTACGCGTAGCTATCGTGGGTACTCGAATAGCTAGGCTAGTCCGCTGGACTACGAAGATGTCGTCCAGGATTACCATTTGCTAGCCTCTTCTACTTCATACACCAACGCACTCGTGGCCTTGCCCGTGAGTCTGCAGAGCTTGAGACATCCGAGTGGAAAGTTGGCGTTGGCCACCTCACGCCTCACCCGCGCGAGGACGAGAACACGAGGCCATTGCCAGTCCAAGACATGTGAGGTGAGTGACGCGATAAGGTGAACTAGCTCGTCACTCTTTTCTACTTTCTAGTAACAGGTTTGAATTTATATAAGAAGAGAGTGAAGGGACTTGTAAGCTCTGAATCTTGGTGCTCCATATCAAGTATCAACCGTGTCTTGGCTACAGCCTTGAACTCAAGGACATGCGAGCACTTGCTATGGAACCAGCCAACACAGCCAGCTAGGTAGAGAAGAAAAGAATGGCATTTTGATAGCGAGTATCTCTGCGAGTGAATTGAAACCGTGCCGCCTTTCTTTCCGTTCGTGAATCTGCCGTGGACTTGGACACGCGTTGCCTCTGCGCTCTGAGCACAACCCAGCTTTCTGCTTTGCGAGACTCGAAACCTGGTGTTGGTGTTGGTGAGCCATTGTCAACCAAGTTCGAGGACCTACCACACGGCCCCTCAGCCTCCTCACCACCACTCAGAATAATACCCAATATCTCGGAATTTGAGGCAGCTTTGATTTTGCCATATCTAACTACGCTTGGCAGATTTGTCCTATCTCTGTCCCACGAGCCGATTGCCTTAGACACGAATACACGCGTTCCGATACCATAGCCCAAGACCAACTGTAGGTGGCTTCCTCTGCTGTGTAGAATGCAACCGATGCAGGAGAAATAAAGGGCAAATAGCATAACTGGGACAAAGGAGAAAGGGCCAAGGGAAGGGAGGCATAGACAATTATGTCTGCTCGTACTACGCGGCGCCATCGTTCATCGACCGTCGCATCTTCCCCACCAGAGAGTACCAAGGCTACAGTTGAGCTCCAGCTCCTGCTAAACAACCTCTCTACCTCGACATGTTTGTCCCCAAACGCTTCCTCCGAGACATACCCAGATTTTGTCACTCTGATTGACCAAGCACAATCTATTCGCCAATATCTGGTCGCATCTGCTTCTTCTTCCAGAGCAAACGATGATTTCCGGCACCTCCACGGTTTTCAGATCCTCCTGGATACTCTGCGTGCCTACTCGGGCTTCTACCACCCATCCAAACGAGATTTCAGATCCAAGACACAAGTTTTTGAGCTAGTAGGGGTGATTCTGCGTATACTGGCACAAACCTTTCGAGAGCACTATGGAAACCGCAGATATTTCCAGAGGAGGGTGGAAGGCGGCGGATGGGCAGCTCTAGAACAGACGATAGCCAGTATAGGCATAGGAGGAAGCGAGTCGGACGTATGGGGCGAAGGCCAGTTGTTTGGCAGATTGCTGGCTTTTGCGTTGGATGATAAGCGTTTTGAGGAACTGTGCGAGAAGGCTGCCGAACTACACCCAACCGGCCAAACAACCCCCTCACATACCATTAGCGAGGAAATGGTGGACTATTTTTCTCGTAGCGAAGAGGAGATAGGGAAAAGCCCATCCGACAACTCGGTTGATGCTGATGAGGAGGCCCGGAAACTGGTGGATAGCAAACTCCAGGGCATGATCAGAGAAAGTGCTTTGCTTTACAATGCAGATGTGGTCCCTATCATCATCGATTTTTGGAAAGCTACTCCTCGCGCAAAAGACACGCCTGTGAACCCCGCAGCGCTAGTCGTGGTTTTGGCATTGACCAAAATGGTGGCCATATCAAGTCACAACCTCTTAGCTCTCCACGGTACGGGAATCCTATCAACTCTTCTTCCCCTTGCTTTCGATGCCGACTCTCCACTGGCCGCTCCAGAGAGAATGGCTGTGAAGAATCTTTGCAGTTGTCTCATAGCTATTGGTATCAGTACCTTGAACGATGCCCAGTATCTGATTTGTAGCAAATCACCTACTGCTACGGATTTCCTTCTCCAGTCCTTGAAGGACTCAGACAGACCCGCTCATATTCAATTTGATTTATCCTTGAATGGATATGCATCAGTAGAGCTACCTACCTTGGGCCGGTCTTTTCCTCCTCCTTCAAGTGCCCCCGGTTATACGTTTGCAGCTTGGATTTACATTGATCATTTTGATCCAAATGCTCATACGACCATTTTTGGGGCATTTGATTCTACTCAAACATGCTTTGTGCTTGCATATCTCGAAAAAGATACACGCAATTTCATTCTCCAGACATCCGTTACTTCATCCAGACCGAGTGTGCGATTCAAATCAACTGCGTTCACAGAAAAACACTGGTACCACATTGCTCTTGTTCATAGAAGACCAAGAACCATGGCTTCGAGCAGAGCAGCTTTGTATGTGGATGGAGAATTTGTCGAACAAGTCAAGTGTCAGTACCCGGCTCCGCCTCCTCCAGCTCATCCTGGCAACGAAAGTTTCTCTGCGTTCACTTCGTCACATACCAAGTTGAACCCTGTCCAGGCTTTCTTGGGAACTCCGCAAGATCTATCAGCCCGTCTTGGATCAGGGGTGATATTTTCCCGATGGTCTTTGGCTTCTGCCCATCTCTTCGAGGATGCCCTCAGTGACGACCTTGTGGCGGTATACTTTCGACTCGGGCCAAGATACAACGGGAACTTCCAGGACTGTCTAGGCTCTTTTCAAACCTACGAAGCGTCGGCCGCTTTGGGTATGCGCAACGAACTTATGCATCCTGGAAAAGATGAGAGTTCAGATATCATCAGTGCCATTCGAGAGAAAGCCAGTAACTTGGTACCTGAAAGTCGAATATTACTGAGTATTTTACCATCAGCGGTGCTAGGGGATGACGATCGTCACAAGGTCAATGAATCCCAATTACTTCGGGGACTCAACCGCATGGCATCCAACAATCTATTCCAACTCACTCATAACAATGGTACCTCCTTAGCAATCAATGCCGCAGTGCCTTCTATAAACGAAGCACTGTGCCGATCCCAAGGAACGGCCGTTATTACGGGTGGTCCTGTCGTCATTGTACCACAATCGCTGGACAACACTCTTTGGCGGCTTGGTGGTTTCGCTGGTATTGCACTCAAACTGGTAGAGGATGCGAACACTTTGGATGAGATTACCAGAGCAGTGGAGATCCTCTTCGAGGGCATCAAGGACAGTTGGAGAAACAGCGAAGCCATGGAACGAGAAAATGGATACGCCATTCTAGCAGCTCTACTTCGAGGCAAAATGGGGGTGGGTATGGTGGTTTCGTCAAAGGGTGGCAATGATGAATCCTCGTCTTTGAGTCCAGAGGACCGAGACCAGCTGGGATTTCAACTTCTCAGCCTTGTACTTGGTTTTGCGGGATACGACCACGAAACTCCAGAGGACTCATTCATCATCAACCCACTAGCATATCGCATCTTGCTCGTAGATTTTGATATGTGGCGGAAAACTTCGTCAATCACACAGAAGCTGTATTATAAACAGTTTGTTATATTTGGTGTGAATAGTAAATTTCATCAATTCAATTCTCGTAGACTCTTTCGAATGCGTAAGTCATGTGCCCTTTCACTTGTCAGATAATTCTAACCAAATATAGGAATCGTCAAAAGGTTTTTAGATGCATTAAAGGCCGACAACTTCCCCCGGGAAGTATTTTCATCCTTCATGGAAGCTTTCACCAGTTTGGTAAAGACCAATTTGACCGCAGAAATACTGCGATCACTTTCTTTATTCATCACATACGCTTTTCATAAACCAACCAGCTCAGCTGCCTCTACGTCACGAGCATCGAAAGGATTGGGTGGTACTCTTCCGACCCGAAGTAGCTCAAAAAGTGGCCCTAAAAGACCAACTATCAACGTATTTTTTGACGGAAAAGATATTGCACACGACTCCCTGTCCAAAAGAGAACTCGGCACGAAGATACTCGAGATGTATGCGGGGATTTTGTGTGAACCTGGGGGCAATTTAAACATTCGGAAATTCGCTAGAACTGTGACAAACAAGGTATGATAAATTCCATCTCAAATAAATGCTTGTTTTTTAACATCGATAGTGGTTACTACATCTCCTCACTGAAGACGATCCAGAAGTTGTCGTACTGGGCACAAAGATCCTGGCTCGACTTCTTGTTGTTCATGGTTCAAGCTATGTCACCAAATTTGCACAAAAGACGGGTGGGTATGCCATCATGCGCCATAGGCTTAAACGTTGGTGGGACATTTCCACCTTGTGGCCTATCTGCTTTAGCATTCTTTTCGGGCGTGATGTTGCAGATATTGATTTCGAGCAACCTTTCGAACTCTTCAGTCTGCTTGAGACTTTCGAAAATTGCAAAATTGTCTATCCAGGCGTTTTTCCGGTAATTACTGCGATGCTACAAACTGGCCTCAAGGATATACTTCGTACGCAAGATGATCCGGACTCGCCATTAGCTGAGCGTGCTGCCCACCAGGAACAGAAAACAACCCTAGGTGTCCCTACTGGTCATGTTCGACGAAGGTCGATGTCTCTGACAAAGGAGTTGGAAGTCCGACGTAAGTGTACTCCTCTGTAGCCATTGTAAATATTCTGACCCGCGGTGATAGAAACTCATCAAACAAGACAAGTTCGCGTTGGTGGCCAAGCCACCGTGCTTCAAACTGTCATACGATTCTTTGCAGATCTACACGGGAAGTCTTCAGAGTTCCGGGACTTTGCTGTATCCTCGGATTACATTAGATTGCTCCTTACTGTTCTTTTTCCGGTGGTTGTCAGTACGGATGAGGTCCAAGCGGAAACCGAACTAAACTCTCGCGATTCGGCCCTGACGTTCGATGGCCAAGATGTTATGATTCGTCCCATATCGCGTTCTACGACTACCCCAGCCACAATGGTTCGAACTTCGACGGTAGAAACTCTACTTCCACCAAGTCCAACGCAACCTCGAGCCAAACCTTTAAGACGAGGTTCCTCATTCATTTTATTGACATCAAGGCCATCTGAATTCAGCCCATCTTCTGCCAGATTGAATCTTGTCATGTCACCCAAGAAGAAAGTTACAGCCCAAAAGATTAGCAATGCTCTTGTAGAGGGGCTTCTTGAGCTTGTGGTCAATGTATTTATTGATCAAGTTATGGCGCGAAAGGATTTTCAAGGCTTTGGACTTTTCATGAAAGTACCACCAGGCTTTCAAGAGCACCAAGCATATTTTGAGTCATATTTGCTGCGTAATACCATATCGGAGCTCAATAACACTATTCAACTTGATCAAAAGTTATTGTGGGAGACAAGAACTCTACAAAACATGACTCGATTTGCTACACACATGGGAGAGGCGATATTTGAAGGATGGTTCCTTGGAGGCGCGGATCCACTGTTGGATTTTGCTGGCACCACACTGGAATACTTGCAGCGACCGGAGGTTGCGAAGATCAACAACGTTCGACTTTGCAGTCCAGCCATCCTTACAATCAAGACAGTCTTCTTGAGAGTTGTCCTGTTGAGACTTTCGGACTTGGACAATGAACAAGTATCTGAAGACGAGGCAGTGTCATTCATCGAAAAACTACACTATTGGCAAACCGTAATGCTTTCCCCCAATGGTGGCGAGAAAACTCCTGGGGAAGATGAGTTTCTTCGACTCATTTGCTACCAACTCTACATCAAGTTGGTAGATTCCAGAGAGCGAGTCCGCCTGGCGGCTGCGAATTTGTGGCGTATCATTCTGGTACAAAAGCCAGAAGAGACCTCGGCCATGTTCCAGCATGCAGTATCAAATGAGCACAAGAATCTATCATCTGATTTCAAAAAGTTAATGGAGCTCGATAACGAAACATTTGTCGACTGGGTTGACACACAGCGCGCAGAATTAGACGCTCTCTTCTTCGGAGTCATGTCTAAAGCATGGGAAAGTTTTGTGAGTACAGAAAACCAGAAGACTGAGGATACGGCGAAGAATCGAATAGCGAAACGCCGGGAACGATTGAGACATTGGCATTCGCAGGATGTCAATGACAACCAATTCATATTCCAGCACGATTTAGCAACCACCTCCTGGATGAAAAACATCTATGCCGCAGAACATCTTAAGCATCAGCGTGCGCAACAGGATCAACAGGATAACTTTAGTTTCCTGGCTTCCGCATTCACCAAGATGAATCGTGAGCTTCTTCGTCCTTGCGCTGTATTTGACAGACAAGCGCCCACGAAGTGGAAGTTGGATCGAACTGAAGGGCGCAATCGCATGCGCCTCCGTATGCTACCTGATCGTTCTGGTCCAATGTACGATTATCAACCTAAGCGACGAATCACCGATGCAGGAACGAATGGAAACGGGAATTTGAAACTGGATTCAAAGGCAGCACGGCCACACGCCTTGAGCATGGGAACGACACCATCAGTTGCCAAGCCCTTGTTGGATTTCGATGCCCAAGTCGACGCGCGACCTAAGATTAGCGAAGGTACTGAACCTCCTGAAGGCACCGTGATTCCAGAGGAAGACTTTGAGATCGTGGATGGTCCAAACGAACCCGGAGAAGGCGATGAGCACTATGAGGATAAGAATCGCAAAGTCATGCGAAGCCTTCAACGAGGCGATCAAGTTCAACATGTGTTCAATATTTCTCGCATCATTGGTCTTGAAGCCTGTGAAGGATTGTTGATTATCGGGAAAGATTCCCTTTACCTAATCGATAACGTCTTCCAAAGAGCTGATGGAGAAATCGTCAATGTATACCAAGCTCCACCAGAAGAACGGGATCCCTATTTGCAAATGATTGCTGGCCCACCTGGTCCCAAAGCAGAAAACAAGGGGACCCCCCAGCCAATTCGAGCTGATCAGGAGTCCAGAAGTTGGAGGTGGAATGATGTGCTCAGTATATCCAAACGTCGTTTTTTGTTTCGTGATGTTGCTATCGAAGTATTTTTTACCGACGGTCGAAGTTATCTCCTGACAGCTAATAAGCCTGCAATCAGAGACGATCTCTTCTCCAAGCTGTCTACCAAAGCTCCACATGCCAGTGGTAGCTCGAGCCTACCAAATCCAGAGGACAGCTGGCGACTTGAGTCCCTTAGAGTCACGGAGGAGGCCCCCGTGTCATTTGGTTCAAAGTTTGGAAACATCTTCAACTCTTCTGCTTGGAATCCAGCGATGAGAAGATGGGCAAAGGGAGAAATCTCAAACTTCCACTACTTGATGCTTGTCAATACCATGGCAGGACGGACCTTTAACGATCTTACTCAGTACCCCGTCTTCCCTTGGGTTCTTGCAGATTATACTAGTGAAGAACTGGATTTGGATAATCCTGCCTCGTATCGAGACTTGTCCAAGCCAATGGGTGCACAACACAACTCGCGAGCAGCTGACTTTATCGAAAGATACAAGACTTTTGCCGATATGGGAGATCAAGCACTTCCGGCATTTCATTACGGTACTCATTATTCCTCGGCTATGATTGTCACCTCATACCTCATCCGCCTTCAGCCCTTTGTCAAGTCATTCCTGTTGCTTCAAGGAGGCAATTTCGATCATGCAGATCGTATGTTCTACTCCATCCAAAAGGCTTGGCAATCCGCATCTAAAGACAACATGACCGATGTTCGTGAACTCATCCCTGAATTCTTCTACCTCCCGGAATTCCTTAGCAACCAAAACGAATACAACTTCGGTACCCGCCAAAGTGACGGTGGCTCCGTAGATTCTGTCCAACTCCCTCCCTGGGCAAAGGGTGATCCTAAGATTTTCATCGCTAAACATAGAGAAGCACTAGAAAGTCCCCATGTCAGCAAACATTTACATCAATGGATCGATTTGATTTTTGGATGTAAACAACGCGGCGAAGCAGCTATTGAAAGTGTTAATGTGTTCCATCACCTCTCCTACCATGGTGCTACAAATTTGGACGATATCCCCGATGAAGAAGACCGAAAGCGCACCATCAGTATCATCCACAATTTTGGACAAACGCCTTACCAAGTATTCTCTCGTCCTCACCAAGCCAGGGACGAAGTTAGAAATCGGATACGAAGACTTGATACAAGTGCCGACTCGCTCACACGTCTACCCTTCCCTCTCATCGAAAGCAACGAACGAGTCGCTTCCCTCATCTACTCCGTAAAGTTGGACAGATTACTCTGCGCCACCTCATTCAGATTGAACCTTCCACCTGCTTACGATAAGTTCCTAGAATGGGGGTTCGCAGATAACTCCGTCCGCTTCTACTTTGCCGACCGCGAAGGCCGCAAGCTCGCAGGTCTCTTTGAGAACCTCCATCAAGGACAACTATCCGCTGCCATCTTCGCCTCATCGCAGACTCTCATTACAGCAGGCGAAGATTGCGTCCTCTCTGCTCACCAGGTCCTCACATCCCCAGGTAAACCAGTCGACCTCCAACCCCGCGCCTCACTCTTCGGACACAAAACTCCCGTCACCGTCTTAGCTGTCTCGAAATCCTTCTCTACCCTCCTGTCAGCTAGCATCGACGGCACCGTTCTGCTGTGGGATCTTAACCGTCTCGAGTTTGTCCGCAAGCTGACGGGCGGCAGGGGCGGACCCGTGGAGTGCGCAGCGATTAACGATGTTACTGGGGATATCCTCCTCTGTCGCGGTCAGATGGTCACAATCTTCACCTTGAACGGGGAGATGGTACTAGAGCAGAATGTCTGTGAGCGCGCAGAGGGGGGACGTGATGACTTTGTCGGGTCCTGTGCGTGGTATGAGGGAATGGGGAATGAGTGGGTGGAGCGCGACTTAGTCTTCACGGGCCAGAAGAGGGGGGTGGTCAATGTGTGGCGGAAGGTCGTTGTATCTACCCCCTTCGCAAATTCTCACTCTTCTGCTTCCCCCTCCAAGGCTGCCAATACAAATACGAATCCCGATCCCATTGCGCATCCTGCGGCCTGGAAACTCGAACTGGTTAAAAGACTCGAGACGGGCGATGGAAGGAATGGTCAGGGCACCGCGATGGGAGGCAAGGGAAATGGTAGTAGGGGGAATGGGGAGATGGCGGCGGTTACTTGTATTAGACCGATGGCGCAGTGTTTGTATACTGGGGATGAGGATGGGAGGGTGGTGAGTTTTACATTTTTCTTTGTTTTTTTCCTTCCCCCCCCCCCCCCCNCCCCCCCTTTTTTTACTGAGAGAGAGAGAGAGTGTGTGTGTGTGTGTGGGTAGTTGGTGGTGTGGTGTTAGGTGATTTGAAACTTTGGCTAATGGATTTACAGTATGAATGGGATCTTGTTCAACGGGAACGTTGAGGAGGTACGGTGGGAAACGGGACACGAGATACGAGAGATGATGGATTATGGATTTGGGTGTGTGGAATAGTTGGTTTTCGAGATGCTAGAACGGGGATGGGAGGGTAGATACTGGTTAGGTTGTTCTTGATTCAGTTCTCTAAAATGGGAGGATTTGTGTTGTGATTCTATGCTGGGTCTGTGCTGCTGCGTAAAAAGGAAAGAAGAGAAAACGAAACGAAAGGATTTTTATAAAGGTTTCATGGCTGATTGATTGATTGATTGATTGAGCGAGCTTCTGTTGGTAGATGGGTAGATGGGTGGATGGGTATATGGGTAGATGGGTGGTGAAGACCTCTTTTTTTCATTTTTTGCTTGTGATGTTTTTTGCGGCTGGGCGTTTTTTAGGGTATAAGAGTGTTAGGGTTGTGGGTTGTGGGTTGGGGGGTTTGATGAGGTTACTATAATGAATTATATAAAATAACATGAAATGAAATGAAATAACATGAAATGAAATGAAATAACATGAAATGAAATGAAATAACATGAAATGAAATGAAATAACATGAAATGAAATGAAATAACATGAAATGAAATGAAATAACATGAAATGAAATGAAATAACATGAAATGAAATGAAATAACATGAAATGAAATGAAATAACATGAAACGAAATGAAATAACATGAAATGAAATGAAATAACATGAAACGAAATGAAATAACATGAAATGAAATGAAATAACATGAAATGAAATGAAATAACATGAAATGAAATGAAATAACATGAAATGAAATGAAATAACATGAAATGAAATGAAATAACATGAAACGAAATGAAATAACATGAAATGAAATGAAATAACATGAAACGAAATGAAATAACATGAAATGAAATGAAATAACATGAAATGAAATGAAATAACATGAAATGAAATGAAATAACATGAAATGAAATGAAATAACATGAAATGAAATGAAATAACATGAAACGAAATGAAATAACATGAAATGAAATGAAATAACATGAAACGAAATGAAATAACATGAAATGAAATGAAATAACATGAAATGAAATGAAATAACATGAAATGAAATGAAATAACATGAAATGAAATGAAATAACATGAAACGAAATGCGTTTATTTTTTGGGGGGGGGGAGATGATTTGTTAGTTAGTGAATGAGTGGGTGATTTTGGTGAAGGACTGAAGGTATTGTAATGTTGTTTGATGGGTATGGGGTACTTGGAGGTACTTGGTATTGGGGTTGTGTAGGGGGATTAGTTACTCAGGTTTGGCTGTTCTGGGGTGAGGTGATACACGTTTACGTTTACGTGATAAAAAAGCGATATATTCCTAAATCTCAAATCTTAAATCTTAAATCTTATATCTTGCTACAGTAGGTAATACTTGTAGAATTCAACCCGAAATTTTAATTTCAGTGATAATATGATATGAATAGCAGGGGTTTAGTTTATAGTGAATGAGGAAGTGTGGGGGATACTGTATATATCAGTTTTTTTTCTCTTCTTTTCTTTTTGGTTAGGATTGTGTGGGGGGGATTGGATTAGATATGCGAAGGGGGGATTAGATGGGATGTTAATCTTACTGAAGGGGGATTAGTACGTTGGCTGGGTAGCTGGGTAAGTAGAATGAGAAGACATGGTCTTTGATATTTGAGTGTTTGTTATATATAAAGTAGAGGTTGTGTTACACTAGTTAGGAATAATATAGTCGAATTCGATATAAGCGTTAATCCGTGAATTTGCCGACTTTTATAGAATCCGTGTATATTGTGACGGTTATGGTCACGAGGGCTGGATGTCACATGCTCGCTTAGCGAGGCGCTAGCGCGCACGACCTGTATTTAGTTCCCAGCTCTCTCGAGCTCTCCTTCTTTCCTGGTCTTTTGTCCTAAGAATAGAGTGTTAATTGTTCTGAGTTCTACCTGAAGCACGTCTGTCACATATATTAGGTAGTAACTATACTAAAAAATAACAGCTTTTAAAATATTTATTAAATACTACCTAAGTTATTCCTTTTAATTTATAATACTATTAATACTATTAATATTATTCGTATATACGAATATATTCTATACTAAATAGCCTCCTAAATTAACTTAGCTTAATAATAAGGTATTAAAGATAGTATTTATAACTTTACTACCCTTAGTCTTACTAACTTCGAAGGTATTTAAAAAAGTTTTCCTATACTTTTAGGTCTATTTATGTCACGAATGACGTGTCGGCACGTGATAAGTAAAGTCCAGGCTGCGCCCTGACAGGACAAGCACATCAATAGCTCTTATAGCAAAACGGGATTGGTTAGGATGGCTAACCGATCCAAGGATTTCATTTAGTTGCAGTCACGTGATATGATGCAGGTCGACTTGTAGCCCAGGCGATAAGTCGGTCGACAAAGTCGACTTCCGAGAACGAAGGTTCTATATAACACTGGCACGTCTGCCATTAGATAGGAGCTTCGTGCTCAACTTAGTTATCAATCTTATCATATTAGTTTGACATCTTTGATACAAGTAACGAGTTCACTTCCAAGTGAACAACCCGATAGTCTTCTTCTTATCATAGCATACCAACCAGCGAACACCCAGCCAAGTTTAGTTAGCCAGTTTGAGTATTCGTTACAATTTAATATATTAAGGAAGAGCTTTTAGAAAAGATGTATTTAGCTCTAATTCTATAGTATAAGTATAAGCTAGGACGTATACTAGAGTAAGATAATCTAGATATTAAATAATATATCCTAGACCTCTTTTAATAAGATAATAAATTAATGAGAGATAAATAGTAAGTTATATATATAATAAGTTTAACCTTATACCATTTAAATTATAAATATTAAAGATATATAAATTAATAGAAATAATAACTTATATAAAAAGCTTATCTATATTATAAGTTAGTAAAACGTTTAATTAATATAAGGATGAAGAGATAAATTAAGTATCTAGGATTTAAAATAACTTATTTTTCTTAATAAATCTACCTTAAATAAAGCTATAAGATTATATTAATACAGATAAGCTCTAATAGCTATGTAAGTATAGGGAAAGTAGTGTAACGAATACTCAAACTGGCTAACTAAACTTGGCTGGGTGTTCGCTGGTTGGTATGCTATGATAAGAAGAAGACTATCGGGTTGTTCACTTGGAAGTGAACTCGTTACTTGTATCAAAGATGTCAAACTGATATGATAAGATTGATAACTAAGTTGAGCACGAAGCTCCTATCTAAAGGCAGAAAGTGCCAGTCTTATATAGAACCTTCGTTCTCGTGGAGCCTACGGGGAGCCCAAGATCCTCAAGCTCCAACGCAAGCTCCTGCAAGCTCCAACGATCATGTGACCCTGTCACGTGATACTAACCGAATGAAATCCCTGGATCGCTTAGCTAGCCCAAGCGTCCCTATTTGCTATAAGAGTACTGATAGTGCTTGACCTTTCAGGACGCCGCCTGGTCTTCTCTTATCACGTGAACACGTGATTCGTGACAAGTAGTTCTTAAAAAGATTATAAGTCTAGTCTATATTACTAGTATATATATTAGATAAATAGCTTTTATTTTTAATTATATAAGGGATAATAATAGCAGAGATATTTAAAGAGTAGCTAGAGTTTATAATATTATCTTAATATAATATTATTCCTAGAGAGCGTAATATAATTACCCTGGATAATTATACTGTCTATTAGAGTAAACGAGTTAAGAAGATATATAAAAGATATAGTATAATAATTAAGTATTTACCTTTATATTATCTTTAATTTAATTTAATTAAAAAGAGCTTTAAGAACCTTAAAACCTTAATTTATTATTACTATAAATAAGTATATATTAAGCTAGATTACGTAAATTTTCCTACCTTTTTAATAAAACAAGTATAAGAATTAGGTACAGAAGTTAGTACTAAAAGGAGAATAAAAGACTACTTTAGGAATTACTTTTATAAGATTAAAAGTAATAATAATAATATTTAATTAAAATTTTAAATCCTATACTTTTTTAAAGAACTTAGTACTATTTACTTATTACTCTAATGTACTCTCTAAGATATATATATAAGTTATTCTATAGATTTCTATAAATATTAAATTCTTATATTTAAGAGTTACTTAATTATTTTACTAAAACTAATATACTAATACTAAGGTTAAAGTATTTATAAATAGTATCGAAATAAGAAGTTGTTCTTTTAAGCTAACTATAGAATATATTACTAGTATCTAATAGTATAATAAGTATAAGAGCTCTTCTAATGTGACAGACGTGCTTCAGGTAGAACTCAGAACAATTAACACTCTATTCTTAGGACAAAAGACGAGGAAAGAAGGAGAGCTCGAGAGAGCTGGGAACTAAATACAGGCCGTGCGCGCTAGCGCCTCGCTAAGCGAGCATGTGACATCCAGCCCTCGTGACCATAACCGTCACAATTTAGTTCTATATTAAGAGAATACTAGATATTTAATAGTATAATAGGTTTAAGAAAGGAGGATAGATATTATTTAGAGGCTCTCCTAGCTTTATAAGTAGGGAGTAGTATAAAGTAGTTCAATCAAGTTTTACTTATTTATTATTTACTATTTATATTAGAAGGTTTAAAAAAAAATTATCTAACTATTTAATAGTTAGTTTAGCTAATTTTTTAGCTTAGAATTATATACGATTAGCTTCGAGTTCTTTAGCCTCCTTAGTATTCTCTTAGGCCTTAAACGCCTTATAATTATACTTATAAGACTCTAATTTTTATACTACTAACTTACTTAACGTGGTTTATCACCGAGTCGATCATATCACCGAGTCGATCACTTTTTCTTGGCACAGAACTTTACACCTAAATAAATCAACCACAATATATTAAATTAATTATCGCTCTCTATATCTGACGAACTAGATATATCTATAACTTCTTGACAAGTTCGCGCGTTATGACCAGCTTTTCCACAAGTTCTACAGCGCCGCCTAGAAGGTTGCCCCTCCTTATAACCAACCCCCGCCTCACGCATGTCGCGTCGTACTTGCTCATCTACATCCTCCTGAGCTAACATATCCTGTACATCCTCTACTATAAGTGCCCCTCCTTGGCGGACACGAGTCTTTTTAGCCCTACGGCGTTTACTTAGGGCTTCATTTGCAGCGCGAAGGGTACGGACCTCAGCAGACAAAAGGGTCATCTCATGTGCCATTCGCTCTGTACCCTTTGCTAACGCAGCAACTGTTTGAAAAAGTGGAGTTGGCGAGCTTCCTTGATGACAGGCTATACGATTTCGTACAAGAGTTGATTGTGAAAGGGCTTCAGTTGGGTTGGAAGGGGTCTGGGACACCCAGGGGAGGGAGTTGGCACTACACGTCCGAGGGGGAGTTGGAGTCCGTAACCTTACGTCAAGCTTTGAAAGCACTGCTTGCGGGTTAAATGGTACTAGGCCAGCTCCGCGGAATCCAGACTGACAGTTTAGGACTGTCATTGTTTCCTTGTATGCTGCTGTAAAGGCTAGAAAGAACTCAACCTTTGTAATATGGTTGATATGGGCCTTGATAAACGTCTCAATCTGCCGACCATACGCTCGTTTTAACACACTATAGCACCCAACATCAAGTGGCTGGGTTAGATGGGATGAATGAGGAGGTAGTCCAAGAGTAATAATGTTGTGTTTCGTACAGTAGTCTTGGAACTCAGCCGATTCATGACTCTCGTGCCCATCCAAAACTAGTATTCGATACAGACCCTTTGCACGAGCTGTAGTGTGTTTATCAAAGTGCTTTAACCATTCCAGGCCTGTTTCATTATTTGTCCAACCATTGCTTGTCGGTTTCATAACCCAGTTAGGTGGGAGGCCGCCGTCGGTATACCAGTTGGAGAGATGGTTCTTGCCCTGAACTACCAAGAATGGAGGAATACTCCAGCCCTCCCCATTAATACAGGCAATTGCTGTAGCCCATTCCCGATTGCCTGGCTGAACTGCCTTGCCTCTACCACGTCGGTCTGCACGAGTAACAACCATTCTAGGACAAATAACACCCATCATAAAGCCTGTCTCGTCGAAGTTGTAGAAGTCGGAGTCTGTAACCCCATATTTCGCCCTCATATTCTCTACTAGCCGGAACCATGCGCCTAGCACGTCAGGATCTTCGCATAAGGCCCTCTGGAAGTCGTAAACGCGATTAAAACGCGTCTTAAGGTCTGGTTGTCGTTGTACGAATCGATGGGCCCAGAGCTTGCCGACGCGTCTTCCCCCCCGCGATTCAAGGATAAAATTAGCCATATCTTCTACACCAGCGAGCCGGGGCGCAAATCCTCTGGAATCCATATCCAGTATATACCGAATAATCACTTCCTCTTCTAACTCAGTCAACTTATGACAATTGGCTTGAGAATCTGGGCGGTAGGTTCGGCCAGCCATTCTGTCGGAAAGAGTCGTATATGGTACATTGTAGATCTTTGCCGCAGAGCGTTTGCTTAGTTTTTTGGACGACCGAATAGCCTCGATAGCTAGAGTAATTCGCGCTTCTTGAGTTTGAATTTCCATGGTAAATAGTTGAAGAAAACGTGTGTTGAAGTTTGAGGAGGTAGTGCCAAGGAAAAGTGATCGACTCGCTGATATGATCGACTCGCTGATAAACCACGTTATACTTATATTCTTTTTATTCAAGTATTATCTTAGGTATCTTATTTTCTAATAGCTTATTATTTAGCTTCTTTATCTACTTTATACTCCCTTTATATTATCTTTAAATATTAATTATCCTCCGAGTTCTAACTATCCTTAATATCCTCCTCCGCGCTATCGAACTATCTCGGAGCCTCTTACTATACCTCCTTCTCTTCCTCCTCCGATAGTAATAGTAATAGTAATAGTAATAGTAATAGATCTCTTAGCGCTAGTATTATATTAAGTCGAATTCGAGAGGGAGTACGCGATAAATTATAAGACGATTCTAACTAAGGAACAAGAGTAAAAGAACTAGTTCTAACTCTTAATCCTACTTATAAAACTACCTTTAGAGATATAGTCTTTTAAGGCTCTACTAAAGGCTCTAGTAGAAGCTCTACTAGAGGCTCTACTACAGTTTTATAACCCCTTTTTAGTAGTGTTCTAGTAGGAGGTTTAGTACTATTTCGAGTATTATATAGTATATTTAATATTAAAGACTTTAAGAATAAGATAAATTACTTTATATATATATTTAATAAATATTTTAAAAGCTGTTATTTTTTAGTATAGTTACTGCCTAATATATATAGATTCTATAAAAGTCGGTAAATTCACGGATTAAAGCTTATATCGAATTCGACTATAGTTTAGCTCTTTAGATAAAAGGGATTATTTAATTATATCTCCTCTATCCCTCTAAGAACGATGTTAGGAAATAATAGACACCTATCGTAGGACGGCCTAGGGTATAAAACCTTCCCTAGTACGTATATTTCCTAACACTAATAATAGCCGTTAAACCTTAATTCGTACTTAAGATATACTTCTTTATTTACTTATTTACTTGTTTACTTGTTTAAAGGTAGGGAAGGGGGAGATAGAGGGGGTAGAGGCGGGTGCGCGGGCGGGTAATAGGGGTATAATAGGATAGTAAAGTAGGAAAGTACTTTAAGGAGGGAGGGGGAAGAATAGGTAGAAACGACTAAGTACTTATAGGTAGAGAGGGAGAAGGACAAGTAAAAACAACTAAGTACTTATAAGTAGTTTACAAAGGTTAACAAAGGAGGAAAGGCTCTATAATATAGATAGATTACTTATAGAAAGCTCGGGTTATACTTAAACTCTCTCAAAAGTTAATTAGAGAGGCGATTAATCCTCTATCCTAGTTATATACTAAAACTCTCCCCTTTTTAATACCTGATTAGAACAGTATTAGGAATTTCTAAATAGTATCTAAGATGTCTAACAACGAGTTCCTAGAGGGCGTAGTCCTTGTCTCGCCAAGGTTTATGTCCTTGTTTAGCGAGCCCCTGATTTAACTACGTTGTTTTTTAAATGGAGATTTAGAAGGAATTTACGAGTGCAGGATTGAAGTTGGCGTGGTTGTATATAAGGATAAGGGATGATAGAATTTACACAAGTTTCTCTTTGATTATAAAGAAGCTATATGTGGCACTAATATCCCTGAGTGGGACGAGGACCATGGAGGAGATACACCTCAGTACCTTATAGAAGAACAGCTTAAGAAAAGAGCAATCAGCATTCTTAAAACCTCACCGGTCTTTCTAAACATACTTTGTAGCTAACGACAACACTTTTATAGAACATTGCTTATAATAATGAATGGTCTTGTTCCATATCCATAATTCCACAACCGCACCCTCACAACCAGAAAACCCCGCCAAAACCATCATCGAAACCAACCCTTTCAAAGTTCATCATCATCACAATCCCTCCCGTCTCCCCCCAAGCTCACCAGAAACCGAAAGTCTACTCTGTCGACTACCAGGCGGAGGATGACCAGGCAAAACCCTCGAAGTCCTCCTACCCTCCACCTCGGATTGTGGATCCTCAACCGAATACTCATCTCTTCCCTCCCGCTGAGTCGCCACCGGATCCGGGACAGGCATTTGCATCGGCATTGCATACCCCTCTCCTTGATGATAAGCACCTTGATTGTAAGCCTGTGGAGTCATAGGGTGAAGACCCTGCATACCACCAAGACCAGATCCATAGACACCATACATATCACCCTGTTGCTTATCTCCCTGTATCTGACTATGTCTAGCAGATCGCGCAGAAAAGCCTCTCGGCCTCTGGGCCATCCTTACATTCGGGTCCATTTCTCCCATCATCTGGCTGCCACGAGCTGGGTTTCCAGAGAAGGCACTTTGTCGTTGAGCCGCTGCCGCTGCGTCGATATCTCCAGGTAGCATTTGACTGTGACGAGGAGAGTGAGCGGATAAAGGTCCTTGTCGTTGAGTTGCTACTCCATCCACGTCATTTTCACCCTGCAACTGGCTACGTCTTCCAGATTGTGCGGAGAAGGTTCTTTGTCTATTGGCAGCTGCTGAATGTACATCTCTCGACCCAACCGGCATCCCAGGAACGTGTTGCTGCTCCAGATTCCTCGGATCGTTGTTCATTTGTGGTCTTCCGTAAGGATTTGGCAGCGGTCGTCTCGCTTGTGGGAAGGGACCTTGACGTGGGGGGAATGGCGGTCTAGCGATAGGTTCATCTTCCATTCTTTGGTTTTTGTAATGGCAGTACAGAACCATGAATAGTAAGATGCCGAAAATTAGGAGACCGGAAATGATACCGAGAGCGATGATGGCGCCTTGGAGGGGTGTCGCTTTGGGGCTGCCATGGATTGGATTTGGAATTGGCGTTGTTGTTGTTCGCTCGATGGCGGCTTTTTTGTTGAGTACAGGTGTTACTGGCATATCGAGATGGTTCGGTGTGGTGGAACGAGGGACAGAACGAGGTAGCCACGTTTTATCCTCTGGGTGGGTGTCGTTGTGTGAGTCTGTCACTTTCATTTCATATATAGATGGCCTCGCTGATGTGCTAGTTTTATGGTCTCTTCGCCAAAAAGAAAGAGGAAGTTATGTGTCGACAATGGACAGCTCTCCGCGATTCGACTTGGTGCGATATCAGTCTCTAGTGCGACGAAGACATGGTAGGCATTTATTGCAAACATTGAAAGTGGATTCGAGGTTTGTACGAAACACATGATGTTGGTAACAATGAGGTTCGTTTCTAGAAGCAAAGATCTACTGGTCATTTGAATCACAAGATACTCGACAGTTTCCTTTGTCGTAATAGCTTCAGTGCTGCAGTGATTTGTTAGAGACTTTTCGAAACTACAATCCGTCTGTCAGAGAGGTATCTTATACGGCAATGAATTACCGCCATTTGACATTCATTGAGTGGCTCTTCGCGCTGTACTTCCGAGTTCAATGTTCGGTACCCGATTCCAAGTGTCAATCTGCGGACAGCCGTTATTGAAGTCATCCACGTCTCACAACAATACATTATGTACTGTACTGTAATTGGATTGGCCAGAAAACATCAATTCTGTTTGCGTGCTGCTCGCCTCATATTAGCTACTAATGAAGATAAAGCCGCAACGCTATGAACAATACAACTTTTAAGTACAGCTCAACCAACCAGTGTCTCCCACGAAGCTATATCGAATCTGGTCGATTTCTCCAGAGGGCGAGGCATCGAAATAATGTGCTCAAGCGAATTTCTCCCTGTGCTCTTTCCATCATCCACCCAGAATCTGTATTGTTCCTCTCTTTTCTGAGAATTCTCGGTGGACTCGTCTCCTTGGGTGACGAGGTTTCCTCCGGGGTAGTTCATTTGGTACCCGTATGGTTAGCTGCTGATTAGGGTCAAGTCTGATATAAGTTCCCCCATCATCCGGAACTGCACCATCAAGTCCAAAGCTCATGTAATTTCGTTCTCGATCATATTGACGTCTTGGTCTCCTGCGTTGGAATGGCTCGTCTTCGGGCTATGATCTATGTCTCTGGGCTCGAGATTCTATTGCCAGATAGGCATGTAATCTTGCGGAATCAGCTGACGATGATCGTCTATTATGACTCTCGGGATACCGACCACTCGTTGTATTCCATCTCCGTGCTCGCCGCTCCAAACTTGGATCTCGTCTTTGCTCTTCTTGCTCAAAATTGTCATCGTACAGATCTGGACCGATGCTAGAAAGAATGAGTACTTGTAATTATCCGAAACAATAAGAAGTCTTACCCTTGAGTTGGAACCTTGTTCACGCGATTCTTGTTTTTCCCCTTTCCTTTACCTTTATGATATTGATTCCACCCACCATCTGGTTCTGCGAGTATATTGATAGCTCTGAGCGCAAGTGGTAAAAGGGCCAGCCACTTCGCATTTTTCCTAAAGGTGCTTCTCTTCGGTTTTTCGTGTTCTTGTTTTCTCCCACTATGGCTGAGGATTCGAAATTAGTACGATGAATATATATAAACAAAAGAAATAACCAAAGAAAGGAACTCCAACAACCCCAGTATTACCTCAAAGATCGATGTCGGTCTTCGGCATCAGTTCGTTCTCGTCTTCTCCTATCTCTATCCTCTCGCGCATCGTATTCCTCTCCTGTGCTTCGTCGACGCCTCTGTCTTCGCCGTTGTGGTGGGGGGTTTTCTTCCTCTACTTCGACTGTGATGATATTGTCTTCATTCGGACTAGCACGACGCTCCCGACGCTCGGGAGGATAAGGGGATCTTTCTCGTGGTCTCGTTACCTCACGGCCTTCGAGCCTTGGCGATGGAGCTCCAAAGTCTCGTACGCGAGGGGCATAAAATGGGTCTCGAGAAGGTGTGATAAGTGGTGATGCTGAGGTAGGGCGTACAGTCCTAGTAGATTTTGACATTGATCGTGGCGTTGAAGCGGCGTATCCAATATCAGTATGGTTTGGCATAGCTGCAGTTGCTGGACGACTTCGGGTCGACGCTACACGAGCAGGTCTCGGTGATACAGAAAGGGATCTGGTCGTTGCTGTATAGTTTCCACTACGTAGCCGATAAGATTCAACCGTTTCTCTGTTTACGTAAGTTCCAGGAGGTAAACGAGGGTCTACTTCTTCCCTAGGTCGTCCATCTCGTGAGTGTCTCGTGTAATGTCCTGAGGTTCTATGATGCGACCTTGATCGTGGCTTAACAACCTCCACAGAATCAGAGGCTGTGAACTGATCAGGCGAAGGTGATCTCGCTCTGTGTTTTCTTCTTCGTCGTCGTCTTCTTCCCCTTCCTTCTCCTCTCTCCACATCCTCCACGATGAACTGCCCCCTCTCCGTTCCATCCATTCCCAAAGGACCCTTCTTCCTCGTCCCAACTTTTCCCTCTCCTCCCTTCCTAGGCTTTCGACCTTTGAGAAGACACCAAATAATGACTCCCAAAACCACCAACCCCAAGAACACAGCCAGAAATATTACCCCCGCCTGAGTTGCGCTACTCCAGCACTTGAACTCCACACACCTCCCACTCTCCCCAGTCACAATCCCCGTATTCTGCGGATCCTGATGATTCAACGTAGCACTTGTCAAAACCCGACCATCAGTCCCAAGGATAACACCAACTATATCCGTAACCAACACAGCTTCCGTCCTGGGACCCTCTAAATCCGTAACCGTAGTAACCTCCGACGACCCAGTAATCGCAGGCCAAGGATAAAAAAGACTTGTTCCCCCAGGTCCATTAACGCTCACAGTCGTAGTAATTGTTGTAGTTCTGGTAGCGCCGAAGCTAGTCACAGACGCTTGCGGTTGAACTTGACGTGCAACAAGATGTTGAGACGGAAATTTCCCATCCCCCATTTTCCCCATCTTTCGAAATTTTCTATTTCAGTCTGTGGCTGTGGCTTCAATGGATACGTGGCAGGGGACTGGGATGATGCGAAACGCGGACTTGCGATGCTCGGACGGGTCTTGACGGGTATGCGAGATATCTGTGGCTTTCCCCGATACTCGGATTGTGTGTTGCAGGGAAAGACGTTGCGTTGATGAAACGGAAACTGGATTCTTGATAATGGGATGAAGCGAGACGAGACGAGGCTGGCGGGCTGTGTTTACAAGTATATAAGGAGTAAACAACCAGCCTCGCGGAACGAGATTCACCTTCACCTTTGGCTTGTTCTCAACACAGGAAAGGCACGCTCAGTTTGATGGTCACAGAACGGGGTTTGCGAATGTTGCTACGGTTTGATTTCAACCGTCTGACAATCCTAGCACGAGAGTCACTATCGAGTCTCTCCAAGTAGCTTTGCAAGGTACCTAGGTATGGGATAAAAATACTCTCGCGATTTTAGTAAACCAGATCGACCCGCTTGGACTGTTTCCAAATTAATGCATGCCACGACTTTCTCGGGGAGAGTGGAATAACCTGTGGGTGTTACAGGAGGCCCTCAATTGCCGTCCATGTTCTAAAGCCTCAAGAAAGGTTCTGGCTACCTCAACAGCTCAGAACACTCAAAATAATTGAGTCAGCTTTGAGGGAAAGTGAAAGTGATCAGTCCAAAAATACATGTCAGTTGTTTGCCTCAACCCAGCATAGGAGAACAATGTAAAGTTAGAGAGAATCTGGACCAGCAAAACGACTTGAGTCACGTCAAATACAACATTAAACTTTTCATGGCATGGGCGAAGGCACAGTAACGTGGAACTTTCATCCAAACTTGTGAAGACGGGAAGAGACGAGATCTTATTGGGTATATCCTTGGTTGCGGATACAAATCATGATATCAACCCCTTCCTTCCATCAGTTCAGCTTCTAGAAGAAATATGCGGAACCATATCCACCCTGAGCTTAATTTGATATCCGCCGGAGGCTTATGTACAAGCAGGAGAAACCATCCATGACCACCACCATTTTTGTTCGCGTCTCGCAATCTGCGTACACATGAAAGGAAAGAATTGTAGAACCAAGGAAAAACAATGTGCAGAGTGCGTCGCCACGTGGTCGGAATTAGGTCGCGTCGTACAATTGGGAAGATCGAAGGAAAATTTGACCAGAAGAGTGCAAGAAGAGACACCGTGTATCAACCTGTTGTAGTGCCATCCCCTCCAGTGCTCGCAGTTGACTCGGCGTCTGCCGCAGCTGTAGCATCGCGCCTTGAACTCGTGTCAGAAATATTAGTCCAGTAGAGGGAAGAGAGATCGTACATTCGGTTTGCCTACATGAAGGTCAGCAGTGGTTCAAAAAAGCCATGAGAAATACAAACATAAGTGCCAAGCCACCACAAGCCGGCAAACAGCAGACCAATAGTGCCGAAGATCGAAATGATGACGATAACCGCGATGATCGTAGTCTGATGAGCGGCCATCTTCAGATATGAGTGGAGTAGTTGACATGCAGATTATACGAGTTGGGAGTAGTTGGGGCGGCAGGAAAGTAGCTGTGTTGACGCGTTAGAGGAAGTGTCGGCCTGAGATCAACAAAACATCCCGAGGGGGTGGGTAAATGAATCAGGAGCCTTGAACTTGACAACCCCAAACAAATATTTAACGAGATTTGTAAGACTGATGTGATTGTTCCAGAAGACTCGAATAATCATTTCAATTCTTCCAAAAGTCTCGAATAAACAAATATATCGTCTTCTCCTTATTTTATACGTGATGAGACGATCGTTGAGAATAAAACATACCTTGAAAGGCAGTCACAAAGGCCTACTGCACCTCCCAGTGACAGCACCTGCAATAGATTTTGTCAAGCGCGTCAAGGTTCCTCGTGTATGCTTGCGCGGCTAGGTTATTCTATGGGGTGGTGGTTTTGTCGCGCTGTGGCTGGAGTAGACGTTAGGACCACGAAGATAGACATGTTCGCCTAGAAGGCGCCCAAATGGCCACGGCATCAATTCATCCAGTTTATTGGTGGCAATGGCTTCTGGTCCGAGAAGTTGATAAAAGATCTCGGGGTGGAGAGAGCTCTTGTCTGCCTGTTCGACGAACTCTTGCATAGCAGACATCATGTTTGTACGTTGTTCTTCGGTGATATGGCCTTCATGACGGTTCTCGTTGCAGGCGGTCAGGACAATGTTGGCGGATGTGATGATTGAAATACAAATCGAAAAGACGTCGTACTTGAACGTCCATCCGTGAGGTCCATCCCCTTCCAGCAAGAGCTGGTCTGTCATAACCTGAAAGCCGCTAGTAGCAAATTTGACAAGCCTTCCAAGTATAACCCGGTCAGAGTTGACAGAAAGTGCGCGCCACTGGTCATACCAGCGACGGCATTCCCTAACAGGATCCACCCAGAGATTTTGGCGCTCTTCGACGAACAGTGAATTGTCAGGCATCATTGATTTTCTGAAATGGCTCGCAAGATCAAACTCACGGCCGGCTTGTCGAGGCAAGATCAAAAGACCCCGCCCAGTAACATGCTCAAGAATGTTGTGCGCGAATGTCGAAGATCTGCTATAATGCTTGCCGATATACTGCAAGAGTATATCGGCAGCCCCAAGAGGCGTAATATGCTGTTCCGTTAACTCTTCCACAGCAGATGCGGCCAGAGATCTTACGCCATCATCATCATCGTTGAGCGCCTTGTAAATTACAATTAAGATTGGGAGCAGTGTTTCGTCGCCATCAATGAGGCCATGATAAACATCCCACTTGACAACATTACGCAGAGCGACAGTCCACGCGTACCGAGTGTCTACAGCCTATTTACGGTGAGTATGGTTTCATACGTGTCAAGAATGATGTCTTACATTATTTTGGGAAAGATTGGAATCTGCTGCATTGGCGAAGGCCATGAGAGATCTTTCTTGTCCAGAGAGTCCACCTGAGAGTATCTGAGCGCCCAACAGATGCCCCTTGAGTATGCTATATTGATTGACAAGATCAGGCACCCAATAAATATGGGTTATGATATTTGAGAGCAGCGTGAGATATCCGGTTACCTCCTTGAGATACTCACAGGCTCTTGGATCCTCTCTTAGAGTTTTACGACTGAAAGTCGTCGAGGAGCGGCCGTCGAGGAGATCGTTGATGTTTCTCAGCGCTCTCGCCTGCACAGCTGCTGAATTGGCCGCATTAAAGCACCAGCAGCCATTGTTGTCGTCCCAATTGAGCACGGCCTTGTAAATGCTCAATAGATCAAGCCAATCTCGTTCGTAGTTGGCAGCCCAGATGGAGGAAGTGACATCAAGAGCGGTTAACGCCGAAGCTTCACTACTCTGGTAGAAATGTGCCATGACTCTCTTGAGTTCATGGACATTTCCACGGAGATATGCGAGATAAACACCGCGAATTGCGATATCAGGATCATTATAGTCAGGCATGGAATCAAGATCTTCGTCGAGTACCTTCAGGTCTGAGGGGATCCACAGCTTTCCGTCCTGGTCTTTTCCCTTGTTCATACGAGTTCTCAAAATTAGGAGTTGTAAGATCAAGTTTCCAGCCTCCAACTCTTTTTGGCGGACTGAGGGGCACTCGGACTTTGGGAGTTCGTGGTAATATCTACGGAAAATCGCGTTGGCCTGCTTGACGTAATCTGCAGAAGGTTAGCCTGAGGGATGTATCGAAGTAGCAAGGGGCTTACCATAATCTTCATCTGGAGTGAACATATTTGTCGACTCTAACTCCCGTCTCAAAACTAGCTCAATCGCCAAGAGAACACCATGTTCTTTATTATTTGAAATATCTGTCGATCTGTTTCTTCTCGCAAACAGCTCTTGTATGGCCAGTTGCCAATCGGCACGAGGGGTCAGGGCAACGAATGCTTTAGCCGAGATTTCCCGGACATGCCACTCGTTACTTTGCATATGTGTGAGAATCAGTTGTTTGAACCGATGAAGATGCTCCCGAGGAACCCCTCCTCGTCGGATCACATCTAGTACAGGAAACAGCCCCTGTGTGGCCTGTTGATCAACTTGTTGAGGGTTTCCGGACCAGAAAACATGTAAACCGCCCAGCAGTACCTCCAGGAGACCCGGATACTTTGCAAACGATACTTTGGAATCCTCTCCTGACCATCCCCGCTCTGCTTCGAACTTATTCTCGGCGCCTAGTAGATGATTTGCCAGGGCCTGGAAAAGTAGGAGGCCACAATTCCGTAATGGGTAACTGATGATAGGAACATATTAGTTTTGAGACGTGACATGGGATGTTGGCGCAGGTACGTACGCTGTCGAAGTGAAGTTCTCGGCCGCTAATTTGAAGCAGTCGACAATGACATTGGGTTCGAGACGTGAGTTGCAAGAAGGGTTTTTAAATGCCTCACGGATAGAGTTTAAAAGATGGACGCGGGATGCTTCTGTTGTAGCGCCCTCTCTCGACTTGTCCACCAACTGCCGAAGATGGGAGTTCAGGTCCATCACGCTCATGATCGATGTCATTAGAGCCGGAAGACCAGCTGAGCGACGGGTGCTTGAGGATTGGGTATCGATGGCTTGGAGAGCCCGCTATTGCTATGAGAAGCTGTCAAATCGTGGAGTCAAGGGAACATACCTGCCACCAAGCGTCTATCAATTGGTCAAGAGGCGAGAGCTGGGTCTGGACTTGCAAAGCTGGAGTGGGTAAGGAAGCGTCTGTCGCAATACTGGCGTACTTTTGTAAAACTTTGCTGTGGGAAAGCTTGCAGCAGGCGTCGAAGGTATTAGCGACAGTCGAGAATGCTCCACGGTGCCGCAAGCAAGATAATTGTGTGAAGGACAGATTCGCAATTGCGTTGAATGTTTCGTAGATGGTTGCAGAAAATGCTTCTGGCCAATGTTGCTTGAGATTAGAAGAGAGGATGTTTAGGAGAAGACTTGATTAGAAATTAGTGCCTGAAAAACAAACAGGGCTGGAGGTGGTGGAGGCTGCGGCTTTGGACAATAGAGTACCCGACCTATCTTCTATTCATGTGACCTGGTACTACAACCACAGCAGCGGTTCTCCCCCAATAAGAAAAGATGAATACAACCTACCTTGACCCATGAACAGCACGAAAGCTGTAGCTCAATACGTCCTTTGTGTCGATCATGTCTACATCTTCGATGCCATCAGGAAGATTGCCTTCTGGGGAGTCGTTGCACAAGACCTCTTTTACAGCTTCCCAGATGCGAGAAGATATTGACACCATCTGGAGCTGAAGGTTGGCCCATTTTTCCCACTGAGCTGACTGATCTACTGCTGACGCCTGGTAATCCAGTGAAAGATCCGCGATATTGGAAACGAGGCTATTAATCAATCAGCGAATTTCGAGTATAAGAGACGTCCATCAGACCGACCTCAGCGCTGCAAAATCACCATGCGTCGGGGCTTCCAATACCGCAAGCGCAAGGTCCTTTTCAGCCATCGAGACTTTTTGTTCTACCCGTTTGACCAACCCATCGATCAATTGCAATCGTGCGTCTAACGAAATTTGCAGATCGTATAAGATTTTATACGATCGAGCTACCCCATCGGCATAGTCAGCGCGACCAGTTCTTTTCGACGCTTCCTCTGCCTTCGAGATGAAATCTGTGAGAAGAGTTGATGGCTGATCACAAACCGGCGGTACCCACTTGGTGTCTTGCATTATCTCGACGGTAGGAAAACTTCCTCCATTGGAGAGGTCTTGCAGGGACTTCTTGTCATCTTGAGGCCCAACCTTCATGAAGTTTATGCGATCGGAAAGCCTCAAGATATCCGCCGCAGTACTTCGAACATCCTCAAAAGGGTCCATCAAGAGATCTAGCAAGAGTCTCATTGAGCGTGCATTGAAGAATTGCAGGGAGAATGGCCATTTTGTAGAATTCGCAGGCACTGGAATGGAGGATAGTGCGGATCCAGGACCCTGCAACCGTGAGTGCAGGAGTATATGGATGGCTCTCAACGCCATGATATGCCTCTGATAGGAGGAAGTTGGGATCAGCTCTCCTAATAAGAAGTTCACATACCACTCAAGAAACTTCTGGTGTTTTGAAAAAAGTTCTTGAGTTGCATGGAGAACTGTTTTCTCTTTTGCGAGCAAAGCCGAGTTTAGCGGATCCCCATGGCTTATCTTGAATGAACACTGCTCAATTTCCCTAGCAAGCAGAGCAGTTGCTCCTCTCAACCTCTCAATCAAGTGTTTGGTGTTGCTCAAAACTTCATTTCGAAACTTGGCATCTGTGTCTGCATAAAGTAAACCCATGTTGGGCCGCAAGATATCAAGAACAGCAGGACTGAATGGGCGGGTTGAAGAAAATGAAGAAGTGAGTACAGAAAACGCAAGCGATCGAATTGTGTCAGAAGCATTGGCCAAAAGAGAATCGATTGCTTCCTCATCCAGGATAATCGATTCGCCCAGTTTTTTGGATTTGGTTTCTTCAGGGCGAATGCTACCTAATTCCCAGGTCAGTCCAAAGGTCTTAAATGGCGGAAACATTCCCTACTTGGCTCTTGGATCAAACCGGCTTTTTTCCCAGCGTCTATGGCCGCCAACTGCACAAGAGCATGAGAATCAATGTCCCCACTAAGTATAGTTGAAATTGGTTTTTTTTGGTTAAGGTCTTGAAGGAAAGCTAGAGACCCTTGTCTGTCGAGCTTGAATAGCGGGGAGAAAAGATAGTTCTTCACATTCTCCAGTGCGTGAGGATTCTTTGCAAGGCCATCTCGTATCCAGCGTTGCCACAAGTTACTGTGGTCCAATGAAGGGCTCAAGTTGACCCCAGAATTGGTTCTCAGGGGTTTGAGCAGCGTGACAAGAAACTTTCCTGCAGCTGCAGAAACATCTGCTGGACCTAGCCAGTAGAAAACAACTGAGACAAAAGAATCCCACGACTGAATGATAAGCTCTGAATCCTTCTCAATGGGATTTGTTGCATCATTCCGCGAATCGTAAAGCTCATATGCGCTGAATAACTCTTCAGGCAAGACTGTGCCTTTTCCCAATAAGCATTCCAACGACTTGAAGGAAGGTTTGACCAATGGGTGAGCGGCCTCGCGAGTGATGAGGGGGAAGGTCTGTTGAAAAATGACAGCTTTTACACACGAAGATATTTCGGTGTTGGGATTTTGAGCAAGTAGCGAGGATATGAGCTCCAAGACCTGTCTCATTGAACGGGCCTGGCTTTTTTCATTCCATTCAACATAGAAGTTGAAAAGGCCAAGCGAGGTCTCTTTCGAGAAAGCAACATCTTGAATGCTCCTGGACGAGGACTTCGTACACTGCTCAACAAAGTAGCAGAGCTTGAGACATGCTTTTCCCGAGGCATGCCGTGGCTGAGAGGCTTGCTGAAGCAACTCTTGAATTTTCTTTTCTGCAAGGCTGTTTCATACGCATTAGACCTGGCTCAACACTGAGAAGACATGTGGATGTGTGCCTACATAATCTGTGTGGAAGTAGATTGTTTCTCAAGCCATTTGACCAAGAGACGTTCATCAGATGGGGCCTGAGATTCAATCTGGATGGTGGCCTTGGAAGCTGGGTCAGCGTCAGTTGTCGCGTCAGTTGTCGCAATGTCTGCCATTATTGCAAGTGCAAGGTCAGCGTAAGCAAGGTCTCCTAGAGATCGGATTGCAGGCCATCCGATCTGGACATGTAGGCAACAAGATCACCTGTCTGTTGGTGGTTGACAGCGCAAAGGGTTGTCGTTCTCGTGCGGGTGTCACAGTTGTTTTTGAGGAAGGGAAGAGGAGGCTGCGTCGGTCCCCTGGTGGTTTAAAAGTTGAGGTGGGGTGTATCCAACCAGCCGATCTCCGGATCGGAACAAACATAACCCGATCGGATAATGCCTGCTGCCAAAGAAGGCTGATGGTGGTGGTGGTGCTCTAGAAAGTTTTTAGCTTTCGCATCATCATTGACGACAGCCACAGCCACGGCCACGTTAATCTTCAACACCAATCCCCTCTCTACCAAAACACACCATCTACCTCTACTTCTACCTCTACCTCCACCTCCACCTCCCCCTCCCATCATGTCAATTTGGGACAAGCTTACTGGGCGCAAGTCGTCCTCCACCACATCGTCATCCACCACCTCTCCAACATCAAATTCAACCCAAGACTCCTTCCAACCCGCTGCTCCTGCTCCTTTTGATCCCCAAGAGGCCCAAGATGTTTCTTCCTTTCTCACAGGTCCTGCCTTCGCAGACCCATCTCAATTACATCCCCTTGCTGGTCTGAATCAACAAACCCTGGATTATTTGTCTTTGGAGGACTCGGCGCTTTCGGATCTTCCTGGTTCGCAATCAGCTTTGCCATCGCGGGGATGGTCAGACGATCTCTGCTATGGTACTGGAGTAACATATGTCACTGCGCTGGGACTGGGGGGTGCCTGGGGACTGCAAGAGGGTTTGAGGAGATCAATCAACCAACCCCCAAAATTGCGACTGAACTCGGTGCTCAACGCAGTTACGAGGCGAGGACCTTTTTTGGGAAATTCGGCAGGTGTTATCGCAATGGTTTATAATGGTATCAACTCCTTCATTGGACACACGCGCGGAAAACACGATTCGGTGAACAGTATCGTGGCAGGTGCTTTAAGTGGAATGCTCTTCAAGAGCACTCGGGGCGTTCGACCTATGATGATTTCCGGAGGAATTGTGGCATCAGTTGCTGGCGCATGGGCCGTAAGTAATTGCTCGCTTCATCAACGATATACTAGCTAACATTCATGATACAGGTTATGAGAAAGGCAATCTTCTAAGAACTTATGACTGGATGCTTCTCTTACACCAAAACAAGCGACCGCTCTCCCTTTCTTTCATAGCCCTTCCGCACATTTCCTCAACCTCTGAGCCTTTTAAGCTCACACTCTTGTATTAGAACTTTAATTTGTCTTGTTGGTGTTAGATCCATTTAATGGGAATTGGGATGCATAAGCGACAAATGATCTCTCCTCTGCCTACGGGCATATTTGTGTACATATAGATGAAATGGGCGGATGTATGAAAGGCGTGACTGGAGTTGGCTGGTAGACATGTAATGCAGTATGATAAGAATGTGCTTTTGTGTGAGTTTTGATCTAGCTTGTGTCAATTACCTGCTAGCCACTTCTAATAGGCATGGAAAGAAGGTGCGGACGTTTGTAACTCGAATCTTATGGTAAATTCATTTTTTCTCTAGGTTTTTCAGGAAGGTCTTGTGTAAGTTTGAGATTTCTGAACAAGGGGTCTGAAGGGGGATTAAAGGGACCCTAAAATATCGCTTCACCATCCATATTTTGCCCCTCCCCCCTGTTCCGACAACCCCAGATCCAACAGGCAACAATCATCGCTGCGCCCAAACACATCAAAAAACGCCTCATCAATCTCATTTTGCTTGAGTAAATAGCATCTTTGCTTCATTCTGAGATAATCATGACGTTGCCAAAGGGTTCTTCTGAGAAGGATGATGGTAACAAGAACAAGAATTCAAATACTGACGACACGTCTCCACCTCCAGGTACTAGAAGCGATCAATGTGACGCCAGCAGAGATGGCTTACCTATTCGCATCAAGGCAAAAGGATCAGCTTCCCAAATGGGATCTTTGCGAGAGACTATGGTACAGTCGGTAAGAGGAGAAACAGCACCAAACACTTCAGGCTATGGTGACACTTTGCTATCTGCAAATGAACGAAGTCTTTACACGTCACCAGAACTTCCAGGTTCGCCTCTATACTCAACGACCAAGCTACCAAACTCTTCATCTGTTTCTGGCGGTCTTGATGGGACTTCTCAATTACCAGAAGATGAGAACTCTCCAATTCCAACTCAAGCAGCATCTACTGGTACTTCTCATGAAGTCACTCCATCACCTCTTGATCATTTAGGTGACGACTCCAAACTATCAAGGAATGAAGCATCGTCCCCGAGTCCAACTTACGCAATATCCCATGACATGTCTCATGCCGAGTCCCAAGCTTCTTTTGGTCGCGTCAGCGATGATACTGAAGCAGCAAAGAGCGACGAGCCCTCTCCAAATCCAGTTTCTGGGGCCTCCTCTGACCTCCCTCATAGTATATCGCCGAATTCCTTTTCAACGGGACGCCCCAATACAGCACCATATCCGCCACCTCACAATGCTCGCCAGATTCCCCAAACCCCCGAGGAGTGCATCGAATGGTTGTTGAAATGGGCGATGGATGAAGGCATGGAAGGAACTATGACAACAGCCATTGGGCCAGAACTCGCTTGCCACTTGATCACGTTCAATCTTGAAGCCGCCCAATCAGAAGATCTCTCTCCGGCAGTCGCCAGTTTTGGTAGCACACCTAGCCTCTCATCTTCTCTTACCGATATGAGGAGTGAAGCCTGGCATCAAATTTTTGCCAAACGGGTTAGAGATTGGCTTAAAACCCCTGGGCAAGCAAAGATGAAGGAAGAGAGGGAGAAGCTCATCGACCAGAAATTGAAAGAGGTTTCAATTGACGGGGAGAAGATCGACGAGAACTGGAGCTTCGACCAAAAGGTAAGATTCAAGAGCGCTTGATTTTGAACCTCGATTGACAATTCTTGCTACAGGTTGGACACCTTGCTGGACGACAAAACATGCGGCTCTTGGAAGCTAGTTTCACCATCGATGGAGATCCACCCGACAACATCTACACTCCCATGCCAATGCAATCGCAAGTGAGCAAGCATGGCGAGTTCCAAGTTCATCTTCGATATGTGGTTGACGGGGATGCCCAAAACACTCATGTACAGGTTCTTTATTTCGACTTCCACACGCCATTTTATGAATTCGCGAAATCTCTCCAAGAGCATACGGCCCATTGTGTCATCCCACCACTGGACTCTCTGAACGTATTCATGAAAGAGATATTTGTAAAGAAGAGAGAACTCGAGGGAGAGCATGAATCAGCCACCGGTACTTCTGATCAAACCCCACGTCCAGCAACACAACCAAGCTTCCGAATCATGCGCACAGAAGAGGAGGGCGGTCTGAAATACACGTACTATCAAGGCTACATGGGCCCACGGGAACCCCCCAACGACCGAGAAAGAGGCTATACCATGGCAGACGGCTCTTGGAAGTGCGAACGCGCGTTGCTAGCCCAAGCTAAGAACACTATCCCGACACGTGCACTCGAATGGACGAAGCAAATCGCAAACGAGGAAGATTACACGGCGATGATTAGGGAGCTCTACGATACCAACAAAGCAGCCAGAGACGCCGCCGATCCCCCACAAAGCATGCTCCGCCCTCGAGGCTTTTTCCAGGAAGACGATGATCCTGATACTACCTATGTACTCTGTATCATGCATGTAAGTGCCCCCCTTGCGAACCTCGCCTTTGTATTTTGAAGGCTAGCTAACTTCATGGTGCACAGTTAATGGATTATGCCGAGTTCCTCAAGTATGAGAAGCGCAAGGAGATCGAGAAGAAGGCTGATGAGAAATCGTGTGCTGAGTGGACTAAGAACACGCCAGATATCAAGCCGCTTCAGAGGTGGTCGGAGTGGGTTGATGAATGTAATGCTAAGGGGGTTGATCCATATGCGAATGTCTTTGGCAACAATAAGTCCCGCTGATTGGTGTCTATGCTTTTCGTTGAGAATGGCACGTCTGTAAATGGGATATTGGCAAGACATCCTTGGACTTTTTCATCGGGATGGGTTGAGACCACGGGATTGGTTCTTTGAAGCACCAGGAAAGTGCGAAATCAACGATTTTCGGATCTTTGATGGCGTTCATTTCAGTGATATCTCAAAGTTTGTACAGTACATGCGGTGGTTTCGGATCTAGAGTTGGTTCCAGGCGCTTCCTGATTACACCAGTTAGGTAGCTTTCAATCGAATCAATTTCTGTATCTTGATCCGCTGCCACCGTCTAGAATGATTTTCTACAAATATCCAACTCTCATATTTCCCAAAGAAAGTGCTCTCCTTCTCACCACCACGAAGCTCTATCATCACACCACCCAAACACATCCACAAAGGCCTGTTCTAATTCCCTCCTAGCTCAACATTCAGTGAGTGAGCCCTTCAAGTTTCGTTCATAGTCACAAAAAAGAAATCTGCTCATCGAGTCCTACCTAGCAGCACCCTTTTAAAGCAGAGGACTCGTATAGACTTCCCCAGTAAATTTCACAAGGAGTAACACCAGATCTACTACGCTCGTTTACTTTCCTCACCTTTTTTTGGCGGTTTTCGTCCCACATGGAGCTTTTTTGGAACGAGTGGAGGGTTTCTTATTTGACCAAGATTTGAGAGAAACTAGCACGTACCTCAGGGTATTCTCTCCTAAACGCTAAGGCTAGTTCTTCTAGAAAGACTTCATCGGTATGCTTGTTTCATGTAGATTTCTCTATCTGATCATGTAATTAATGCATATCCCTGATTTCATCGAGCACAAGCTTCAGGTCTATAGATTCGAATAATTATCTACCAATACTGCAGTTGCCTAAAAGAAAGTAGCGTTCAAGAGGTGAAATTCATAATACCAACGAGTAGACCCGCGAGGTGACAAAATCTGGAGTCCTGATTCAAAACGTATGACTTATCTTGATGCTCGTTTTCTGATGTAGGAGAGGGAAATATTTGTGAAGTCCGTTGGGTGCATACTTTTGCTTATATGATATGGCTCCAAGAGTCTGGACCTTGGATTCTTTGAGAGAGCACTTGAATTTCTTCACGTCTGGCAAGGCATGGTACGATCTGTCTGAAATACATTTACCAGATAGAACAGCGATATGTTGTAGGTTGGTTGGAGAAGTGTTTCCAGATGACAGCCCTGGGTATGCAGCTACGATCGGACCAACTTCAAGATATTCACGAATCGAATACCGAAATGATTGTAAATGTTGGTATACACCGCTTATCCGTCGAGGCTCTAGGAGTATATGTCATTTTAGTGTGTTGCAATGGAATGTAACCAAGCGACGAAGGTGACAGATTGCTCTAGTATAGCGGAGTTAGCATTAGGTAACGAAAGATAGTTGTAACGAGTACACGGTGCTCACATATTAAGGTGGAGATAGAGCGGTACAATAGACCAAAATACCAAGGTAGTTCTCTCGCTAGAGCTAGTTAATAATAATCAGATCTCTTTCCGAATTAAACAAAAATTACTTTTTTCTAAGTATTACTATAACTTATTCATAAAATGATAATTTAGAGTTCTATTAGTAAAAGATTTAAATAGAATAAATAGAGAAGAGTTAGCTAAGAAATAAATAAGAGATTTATAATACAAGTAAGCTAGCTAGCGAGAAGTAGCCGAAATAGATTTAGAATCTTTTATAGAATATACTAGTATTAGACTATAAAGCTACGAATACCTACTTATTTATATTAGAAGAACTTATATAATTAGTTCTTTTATTCTTTTAAATATTAATAGTATTATTTCCTAAATAAAAGTTTTATTTAGTTACTAGAATCTCTGAAACAATTGAAATACGTAAGCGAAAACCAGATCTATCTAAAGGTGGTTGTTCTAAAGGGTATAGCTAATTAACTTAGAAAGAATACGTAGAGTAAGATGCTCTCTGCAGCGTTTTTTGCGTCTTCGGTAGAACTCCCTAGCCCTGCACCAGGTTGACTACGGCGTCTAGGCACGTGAGATGCTAATTTCGCTTGTTTCCTTGGCATGTTTGTCTCGCCTAATCGGCTATTTCCATGTCTTGCAGCGTTACCGACTCCATCAACCACCATTCTTATACAATCTTTGAATCAACACCGACTTCCTCAACACCATCCAAAAATTATAAACCGACTTCTGTTGGACTGTTGAGGCTTCCCGCTACTACGGCGACCTTCTTGCACCATGGTGGGCCTTGGTGGTGGGGTATTTAAGACCACCAAAGGTCCGCCATTGATGCTCTTCGCTCCTTCCTTGCGACAACCATGGACGCGCAACAAACAGGCACCCGTCAGCCTGCGGCAGCTCCCAGCCGCAGGTTGGCAATCGTTCCCATCGCACCAGAGCGACCATCCTTCTTTTCAACCACCACGCAACAATTCAAGAAGTTGCGAACCATGTGCTTTCCGTGCTTCCCAGTCTCCAACGTTGAGTTGGAAGAGGTCCCGGCGACCAGAACCACCGAGGATCGCAGAAGAAGTGGCTGCGCCTCCTGGATCATGGCATATGATCCAGTCACCAAGACCAATGTACGGGTTGGCACCTGTTACGACCCTGTCATCGTAAGTATCCCCCATTCCCTTTTGTTTCGCGTCTCTTCTGGCTTCCTGTACAATTTTCCGCGCTATCTACTCCTTCCTGCGGTGTTGGCAAGGTCCGCCACCAGATTGATCCAGATCTACCCAGATCGACTCGACGGCGAGGTCGAGCAGGTCGAGGTGATTGGTGGTTCTTGCCTCTTCCATTCGGGATATTCATCCTGCGATAGAGAGGAAAGAGCGACTAAATATTCACTGCCTACGACCTCAATTTCGATGACTTTGACGCGTCTTTTTGTGCTTATTTCCTTAATTCGCCGTGCACCGTTGTGGGACTCTCCGCGAAAGAAGCATCTCGCAAGCCCGAGTCTGCTATCTTGCATCAACACCACTCTACTCGTCCTTTTCTCCCATTTTCCCCCTCATCTTCAGCTTCAATTTTCTCCATCTTCTCAACCCTTCTCCATTATCTCAAGCCTGCTCCATCATCTCAACTCCCCTCCATCAACAATGTCGCAACACTACCGCCAACCTCAAGGCGCGGGTAATATTGTGCATACCTACATCCCTCGAATTGATGGCGCCATCATGGTGGGCGGGGTTGCTTACTACCCTCATACCGACAAACAACCTGAAGCGCCTCTGGCTTCTCATGTTGTGGGCTCGCTCGCAGCAGCTGCGATGCCAGCAATGCCTCCAGTGTTTGGTCAACCAGCTCCAGAAGTACCAGTGGTACATGACCCTCATCTCCCCTTACATAACCTCCTCTTCCCACCTCTAAATTTGTTTTCTGCTATGTACAACCATGGAAGCTCTGTGTTCTCTACACTACCCGCGTTCTTTCAACGGCTTTTCACTCCAAGATATCTGCCTGAACAATTCACTAACCATTTCTTTTTTCAGCAACCGGTCGGCTATGTTGCACCAGCTGCAGGACCCGTCTATGGCGCCGACGACTATGTTTCCCCTTACGGCCCAAAGATCCCAGACCCGGTCTATCACCCTGTTCATAACCCGGCCTGGTTCCACGCTCACACTGGTTTCTGGCCTCCTTACAATGCACATTTCAATCATACCCCCAGTGAGATCATCCAACAACAGTTGGCCACTGCGGAGGCTCAAGGCAAGGGCAAGCAAGAGATGAAGCCGGCTGACGACGACCCCCATCGCTGGTACTGGGTTCGCGAGCTGGACGACACCTGGACTCAACGCAACCGCCTCACCATTGACAGTGATGGATTCGGTGAAGTCATTTGGTATGTCAACAAGGGCGAGTTCTATGCTGTTCGCAAGCGTAAGGATTAGATGTCGCGACGATGGATGTAAGGTCACCTTCCCTGCAATAGTAATCATGCGCACTGGCTAATTATTTTTTCAAAGTGGGAGCGAGCACACACTGTCTTACTGTTTTCACGAATTGTCCCTGCTCCAACATACCCTTTCATTCACGCGCACTGTTCTCTTGCATTTGGAGGTTCATCTGGTTCTCAAGTACGCACATATGCGGAATTTTCATTTGTTTGGTGTTTTTCACAATTTTTCGAAGGAAGGATAAATAATCCGAGGATACAAAAGTTTTCTTTGCGCTGTTTTCGGTGGTTGAATGGTTGAATGATTGGGAATCGGAGCTTGCCTTTTCTCATCACTTTCTTTCTTCCTTCTTCTCACGTTGATTTTTAAGGGAGTGGCAATGTTTTTTCACAACGCATGGCATGGACTTTACATGAATGGTTGTTGCAGATACCAGGACTCGGGGTTTCGATGGTTTATGGTGAGATGAATCACGGATTTTACGATAATGGAATGCATTTGATATATGACTCAACTTGATGACTTGATTGTGTGCGTGATTTTGTTTTGAATGGTGGTGTGACGTAATGTGACGTGATGTGATTTTCTTGAATCAAGGGGAGGTTGGGACGACGTTTCATAGAGCTGCGAGAAATAGGGTGGTATCTTGCTTGTTGAAGGGTGACTTGATGAATGAGTGTCCAATCGCGCCCAGTGGATCGTCAACAAGTCCACGATGAGATGGCGTCATGACCTTAATTCGCGACGAGATGTGGATGGACTTCCCATCTCTATCAATGAACGAGATATCTTTTGACTCTGCAGTTGTGACGAAGAGTCTGATGCCTAATTCTTTCATTACTCTACACTGGTTGATGTTTTTTTGAAGGTGAAGGTGAAAGAGGTGGGATACAACAGTTAACCACTGTACCGTGTGAGATTTTGGTATAGTCGTAATCTGCAAGTAGGCAAGCAGGTAGGCAGGCAAAGAATACTGGATGTGCAGGTAGGTTGGTAGGTAGGTGTATGAGATGAGTCTGTGCTAATTTACGTGCTGATTTAGTATATAAAGGTAATTGGAGGTAATTGGTGTCAACTAGCTCTCAATCTAAACCTCTCTCTTAGGAAGTCAAGAAACATTATTCTAAATCCAAAACCAGTAGAGCAACCTCCAACCCCCCAAACGCATCCTTAACCANCCCCCTCAACTCTCCACCCCACCTCACCATACAAAACCTCCCCTATCCCACGGATCCCCATCTCCTCCGGCATAGAGATCTCCACCCTTCCCATACCAGCCCCCGTATTCACAATCCCAAGCAAGACTTTATCCCCCCTTATCCACGCACCGACATCCACATCCAGCCCCCCACTTCCAGTTGCGGCTACCTTCACAGGCGGCGGCCCAAACAAAAACTGATCTCTCACCTCCTCCGAATCAAGAACCCTTCCCAATTCTCCGGTGACGGTATTTATACCAGGCGAGGAGGGATAGATCCAATACCCCAACCCCTTGACACCCTCGTTGAGAGAGAGGATCGCCATGGCTGCTACTTCCTCGCTACTGGGGTATCCGGGCCAGTACGTTTGGTTCCCGAAGGCTTGGAGGATCGCCCAGAGGGGTTTGGTTCCGGGGTTCTCGAGGTGGGATTCGTAGGTTTTTAGGGTGGTGATGCGGGTTGGGACGTCGTTGATAGATCCGACTAGAATGTTGTGTCAGTATGATAAGGATTGGTGGATAGAATGGGATGGGATGGGAGACGTACGACAGTTGTCACATCCGCAGTCGCCGTATGTTTCGTTGCAAGGGGTGTTGAATTGCAAAGAGTAGGTTACGTTGATGGAGATGGGGTAGGGGTCTGTGAGGATTATTTGGGCGCCCGAGGAGTAGGGGACGTAGTGGTAGTTTTGGCAGTTTAGGACGAGGGAGACGGGGTGGTAGGGGTCAAGGGTTTGGAGGTGGGTGAAGGCTGTTAGGGTGGAGTTTAGGGGGTAGGCCCACTGGGAGGGTGTTAGTTTCTTTTTTGTTTTTGGTTGGTTTGTGTTTGGTCTTGTATGTAGGGGGCTACCATAGCTGATGGGGATGGAAGGGAGGAGACTTCAGCGTCTTGGGGAAATCAGATGATTTGGGAGAAGTTGCTAGCTCAGTACATGATTCGTCTAAGTGGTATGGAAGAAACGGATCTAAAGAAGGCAATGAGACGTGCAAAACAGGACTGGAAAAAGAGAAGCATCACCCACCCCATCTGGCTCATCAGCAGTATACCACATCAACAAACTATCTCTATCCTTCCAAAGCGCAACTTGATCCTCAATCCTCGTGCTATTCTGAAACGCAAACCGCATATCATAAATATTCAACAAATTAAGCTCATCCATTCGATCCCAATACTTAGCCAGTGATTCCACTGGGTACGATTGATCAGGTAATCCACCATCAGGAACGATATTTATCGTGTTGAATCCGTGGTCTGCATAGGTGTTTAGATTCGTGAGGTTGAAGATAGCTGGTGTGACGTGACCGCCATCCGCGTAGTGTCCGTTGGGGAATACTGTGTACCATCCGGTGTACAAGTTTTTATGGTTTTGGACTAAGAGGCCACCGTGAAGGTTGTCTATTTTGACGGCGCTTCCTGAGGCTCGCGATGGGAGGACGTAGATTGAGGTTTTGGCTGTGTATTTTTGTTTTCCGTCTGGGGATTTGCCGTGGAGAGTTATGGGATATGGAGATAGTCGAGGAGTGAAAGACGAGAGGGAGAAGTTAATGAGGTTGCCAGTCGTGTTTACACGTATGGAGCTTGAAACGAGTGTCTTCTTATCTTCGTCACTATATATCTCAAACTCGAGTCTGTTGAATGAACGTGATCTCTCTACATCATCTTCGGTGAAGGTGTGAGTGGAATTAACGAAGGGTTGTCCAAAGGTATACGATATTTCAGCATTGAGAATAAAGGCATTGCCTATATCGTTTTCAAGAGAAATGCTGTAAAGAGGCTGGAGAGTAACGTGTAGCATTGGTGTATCCTTGACTTGAGGGAATTGGAATTGTCCTCCGGGATGGACAGCTTGATCTCTGCGGAACTCGTCAGTAAGAAAGCTCACAAAGATAATCAGATGTAGATATGTCCCGTTTTGTGATGGCATACGTGCTCATATATGGTTTTCCACACCAAGTGGCTACCTCCGCTGAAGCAGTAGCAATCCAAAAGACCAGCAATGACCCCGCCACTTTTGAGAACCAGGAAGTCACCATCTTCGTTCTTCTGAGAATGGCTATGGCGAGGGTAAAGTAATTCGATCTTTCAGGTTCAGGTTCTGTGAAGCTACACGAATCATCTATTCAGATTTGTCGAACTGTTTCGTTGCTTTTGTTCACCTCTCGCTCCAGTACTAGATGGAAACTGGTAGGTAGTCTGGTACCACTAAGTTGAACTGCTTGAACACGTGACTTGGAGTATAACCTTGGAACCTTGAACGTTGCCCCTGGGTGTAATTGGGCGGATTAGATCTGCCATGCAGCTGCAGCCTGCTGGGAAACCATTCCGAAACAAGCAGGTGCTTAGAATCAATGTTTTGATAACACCTTGGAGGTACTTTGCGATGGGCCATACTCATGAATTGAATCTCGAAAACGACGACGTTAAGTTCATGATGAAGATGGAAAAAAGGGAATCGAGGGAGGTCATTTTCCCCGCACTCCCCCCTATTTCTCGGCTTTACATCGGCTCTGGTGGCCTTGGCATGCATTTCCCCCAGCTTATGTCTCTGCGTACCAGAAGTTTGCTGATGAAAGAAGCTACTTTATCATATCTGCGAGTTCTAACTATATTTTCTTTGATCAGGTAAGCTAGGGTTTATAGCCGAATCAGATATAAGAATATACGCTAAAACAGTATAAGCAGTAAGCCATAACAGATTTCGAGTTGCGTTCGCACCGTAATATCCAATGAAAGAGACATATATAATCACGGAACCTCGCCAGCTTTCAACAACACAGCTTGTCTCCTACGCAGTTCCCTAGCCTTCAGCAGAAATCTAGTCAAAATGAAATGATATAGGAAGAAACAGAAAAAGAGAAGGACAGATATTCCCACAATTGCCACGGGTGCACGATAGAGAATACAACAAATCCAAACGTTGCGTTTTGAAATCTTTCATCCAGACGTAGGTGATCCGTTGCAAGACCAACTTGCATCGCCGCTAAGATAATAGATAAATAGACGAAAACAAGTAATACCCATTTGAAATTACGACCAAAGAAATAGGAGTAAGATTTATACTGATACATATACCCTCGAACGATTTCGTGAGGCACTCAGTCGAAAAACAAAAACGATTTGTAATTACCGGGCTTGGAGGGCAAGGAAAGAGTGAGATATGCTTGAAGGTTGCTGAGAGCATGCGAGAAAGGTGCGTATTCTTCTTTGACTTGCTTTTCTTTCCTAATGGCAATAGTTTTTGGGGTGTATTCTGGGTCGACGTTGACACCTCTTCGACTGCCCGCAACGGCTTCCTATCAATTGCCAGAGCCCTCGAGAAGCCCGCAGAGAGCGTTGAGGATGTATGTAGCATTCTTGCAAATATCAAGCAAACGTGGCTACTCGTCTTGGACAATGCCGATGATCCGAAGTTTGATTATCAGACGTATTTTCCATCCGGGAGTTATGGCTCACTGATCATGACATCTCGGATCCCATCCTGTGGTTCTCAGTATAACAATGTTGGCTGGGAAATGTTGGATAGCCTCGACGACAAACACGCTGTAACTCTGTTACTCAAAGCAGCCCGAATCCGAGAAGATGAGTGGGCTGCGTGTCAACAAGCCGCTACGGATGTCACCAAGTGTCTCGGATCCCATACCCTCGCAGTCATACAAGCAGGTGCATATATCGCAAAAGACCATAAGAGGTTAGATCGGTACCCTGCTATCTTTCAGGCTCAACGCAAACGACTTCTCATATCCCGACCAGATCAGGCTAATTCGAGATATGGCGACGTTTATGCTACATTGGAGGCGTCTGCTGAAATCTGGGGAAATCCGAAGACGAAGCCGCAAAAGACGCTCTTCGCCTTCTCGGCGTGCTTTCTATGCTACATTTTGGCTCCCTTGACCTTGAATACTTTGAGTATGCTTGGAAAGGTGCACTGAAAGCAAGTTCTAGGTCCGATTACGTTAGCAATACGGGTATAGATGACGTCAGTCCGTGGCATGTATCAAAGCTCCCTGGTTTTATTTCAGTTGAAGACAGCGAATGGGACGATTACCGTCTTGTTGAAGCAGTTTCTACTCTCCAGTCGTTTTCTCTTGTGTCCAGAAACGAGACTGAGGGCTGGCCGGCGATCTCTATGCATCCTCTTGCACACGCCTGGGCGAAAGACCGGCAGGAGTCCTCGGAGCAGTATCAGGCATGGATCACGACTGGTTGCATCCTTGCTCTGTATCTATCTTGCGCTTCGCCAAAATCGAAGAATGAGAGGTATTTCCGACCTCACTTGCAGTCCTTTCTTGATATCATTGAAGTCAACAAGGCTTTCTCACTTGGACCAACGAATGCTGTCTTGGCAATATATCTCAAATGTGGCTGGCCGCTCAAACAGATGCGGGATGATTATAGACTTGAGCAGCTCCTCAAGGACATCTTTTTTGAAATTAAGCTTGACGCAGATAAGCCGACGAGAGAGTTCATGCCCCTATTTAAGCTCAGGATTCGCTGTCTGCAAAATCTTTCGTCCTTTGAGAAAGCTGTTTCACTTGGCCAGAAGGTCTTAAAGAGTGAGGAAGCTCGCCTCAAAGAAGATGACCCGGAAATTCTCTCTCTACAGCGCCAGCTTGCCTTAGCCCATATTGAGAATAACCAACTCAGAAAATGCTATAAGCCTCCTTGGGAAGATTGTACTGATTGAAAGTGCAAGACTTGACGAAGACCACCCTAATAGATTAGCTTCACAACACGGGCTTGCTATAGCTTACCTTAACAATAATCAAATTCTAAAGGCTATAAGTCTCTTAGAGAAGGTTGTCCTAATAAGGCAAAATACACATACTGAAGACCACCCTAGAAGACTTGCATCAGAACACGAGCTTGCTAGTGCTTACCTTAAGAACAACCAGATTTTAGAGGCTATAAGTCTCTTAGAGAAGGTTGTCCGAATTCAGCAAAATACACTTACTGAGGAACACCCTGAAAGACTTGCATCAGAACACGAGCTTGCTAGTGCTTACCTTAATAATAACCAGATTGTACAGGCCATAAGTCTTTTTGAAAACATTGTTCAGATTCAGAAAACAATTATCCCAGAAGACCGCCCAGATAGGCTTCAGTCCGAAGATGTACTCGCTATAGCTTATTACGACAACGGACAATTAGAAAAGGCTTTAGAGCTTATGGCACACGTGGTCCAGATACGGGCAATCACCCTTCGCGAGAATGACCCTGACAGGGTTAATTCGGCAAGATGGTTGAAAAGAATGAAACGAAAAGAATTGAAGAAGCAGCGGAGGTCTGATAGTATCAAACACTGAGGTTTCAGCGGATCTGTGGTGCATATTTATGACACTGGGCTGTTTTTTTTGGAGCATTTACGATTGTCGTACCTTGCGAGGATTGATGCGTTGTGTCTTCTCTTTTTCCTTGGGCGTGGTCGTTAATGCTGTTGAGATATAACGGATGGCTTTTCATTGAGTAGTTGTTGTTCTTATATGTGGAATTCGAAGACAAATCATGGTTTAGTTGTGGTTTGGATACACATGATGTGAATGGCAGTTTTTAAGGGGCTAGTCACGATGGAAATGAATTTGAATTATTCTTTGTGAAGTGATACATTTGGGAATTTGACTGTGAGCTTGTGGGTTCATCATAGATTGAGTTCCAGAATGATGTACCATGCTACTAGCATAACCTACATAGACAAGCATGTGGCAAAAGGTCACACTTGCACACAATCATTCCAGTGTAATAAAAAAAAGTTATGTATAGACCTAGTCAATACCCTTTAAAGTCAAGTACTTAGATCGTAATCCTTGAACGCCACAACATGTAAAAAATATCCAATCTGTTTGTGACGGCTGCTCGTCATGAAATTTCAAGCTCGTGATTATAAATAAACCAGATACTAATATAAACAAGGAAAGGGTAATATCACACAGAACAGGCATACAAAGCTCATCCAACCAGATGTGATATACTCCTGTATTCCTATATACGTAAAACTCTCCAACCCCACTAAAAATACATTTTCCTCGCCTAAAAAGGAGTGCTCGCCGCTTACCACGTGGTACCTAAGCATGGAAAAGAACCCGCACCAAAGATCTATATATACAAAGAATCGAATCTCACAGGTCCCAGTTTCCGCGACACGTCTCGCACTTCCATGACAGATCCAGAAATACAAAAGTTCCTCATTTTACCAGCACGCAGTATCAACAGTATACCCCTTAGCCACCAAATTATCCCTCGCACTCTTCCACTCAGCACACAACCCCTGTCCCCTCATCACCCAACACTCCTGTACGATCTGCCACGCATTTGAGAACCTCTTCGTCGGCGACCCCCAAAACCGATTTGTGGAGAATAGTTGGTGGAGTGCTTGATGATGTTCTGGACCTGCCATGGATCCGGCTACCAAGAATGGCCACACGAAGTCTGTAGATAGAGATTGTGGATCATTGAGCGCAACGAGGTCGCGGATCACGATATCGACGTGTTTACGGATTTCAAAGGACTCCGGGTTGGGACCTTGTACCACGAGGTGGAAGTAGATCATTATTGTGTGGAGGAAGATGCTTCGTCTCAGGGCGGTCTTTGGGTCTAGCGGAGTGAGGGAATCGCGATTGTCGAGATGATATTCGAGGTTTCTGAGGACAGCAGATTCATGTTGTTGGGACTCTTGGTGACCAAAGATGCCTTCTCTAGCTAGTTCGGCACGCATCTGAGCCAGGCGAGTCACGCTTTCGATGCCCGTGAAGATCCAGCTTTCTGTTGGGCCGAGATATGCTTGTTGGGTGTTTATGCTAGCTTCTAGAAGACGAGTTATGTGACCCCTGAAAGGGCTGAATGGGGATTCGACTTCCGCGCTTTCGAATGTGCGGGTTGTAATATCTGTCCATAATGCGAATCGTATGGAGCTCCCAAGTGAGGAAAGGTCATCGTTCGATAAGACGCGAGCAGTTGAATGCTCGCATTCCGTGAGGTAGTCATCCCGAATTCTCAATACCCAAGAGATAGCATCTTTTAGATGAGTGTCCCGTTCTTGGTTTTCTGTTGTTCGTAAGAGATCCACCAGTCTTGACAGTTCGACGTTTGCGGATATCAATTGCTGTAGTCGAGGGTTGACTGGAGAGGAAGGCAATTTGTTTGTGGTTTCAATCCAGTTTTGTTGCGCAGATAGTTCCAGTGACGAGATGTAGACTTGGTTGGTTGGGCGAGGACACTCGGCTTTTGGGAGCAGTAATACTGGTTTCTTGACGCTCATATCGTAGTTTTGAGCTGGCCCATTTTCGCAAACTGGCGAAAGGGGCATTTGTTGTGGGTTTCTGGCTGGAAAGTTCATGCGCTCCTGGTAATTTTGGCGACTGTTGTCTTCACGAGGAAATATCTCCTGTAGTCGTCTGGGAGTCTGAAACTTCATATCTGGCTTATCAGGAGTGGTAACTGAAGAGACTGGAGAAGGTGGAAATACGTATGTTTGTGGGAAAATAGCATAATTTGGAGCTAACCCCGAAGAATTCGTAGTAGAAGGCAGGTAGCTGTCTGGCTCTGGTGTAGAATAATGGTAGAAAGTATCTTGCCCGTTCGTTGTTGGAGGGTAAAAGCAGTTCTCGTTCATCACTGGAGCTGGAAAGCTACTTGGTAAAGAATTATAGCTTCCATCAGCCAGTCGAAAGAAGGAAGTCTCGTCTTGATGCGGAAATGTGTTGAAATTCCAGTCGGGAGATACCTCAGAAGACACCCACGGTTGTGTGTTTTGACTTGGCAGTGAATTCAGCCGTGTAGGTCCAACTGATGCGGCTCGAGATGGGCCTGAAGAGCAACTATCTTGAATGTAAAAAGAGCCGCTTACGTTGTTGAATAGCTCAGGTGGAATTGAAGTACTTCTTGGTCCAGGTGATGCCTTCTCTCTGGACTGTACCAACTTCATCATTCTCTTCATTCTTGTCACTGATGCAACGGTTGCTTTGATTTCCTGGTGAACAGCTTCTTGTTGTGCTCCGCCATCCATCCATCTTGGCTTGATAGCTCCAAAACCCGAGCATTTCAGTCCTCGTTCTGTGCAGGTGATGCATTCTGGCCCCGTCTCATCACACCTATATAAATAATTAGCATTGGTAGTTTCATGACGGACAGGGCTCAATTACTTCTTTCTTCGTAGCCGACAAGTCCAACATCCAGAAACACTCCGTGACCTATTCCCTTCTTTGGAAGCCGTGCGCTGTGGTACGTTGGGAAAAGACTTTTGTCGACTTGCTTGAAGAGCCATCTTGTTTGAGAGGTCTGACATTGTAATATAAGATTATGCGAGCGGAAGTCTCTCTTTCCAAATATTGCACTTGAACTTGAAGAGAATTGTCACACAAAATCTGGGTTCAGTCCTTACCTTTCTACTTGAGAATCTTCGGGGTAAAGACATAATCATAGTAGCCATGATAGCAAGGCACGTTGCCTCTATTTTCAGACGTAAGAGGGGTTCTCTTTCTCGGTAAGCACCCAAATAGGAATTGATGCTAAAAGTACACAACAAAATCCAGCCCTACCAATGACAGCCATCAGAAGATGTCGATATAGACGTTGGATGACATGCCACCTTTACAAGTTGGTCCGACCACGTAAGGATTGCAAGCCCGTTTCAGTCGCCAATCTGCCGAGTTGCGAATATACAACGTCAACTTGTAGAGGCTCTTTTCCAAGAGCTGCAGAGTACGCCGCATCTTGTGTGATGGTTGTTGTTTTGTTGCAGATGGAATCATCGGTCCTGCAGTGTTCACCTAGGGTCCGTGGGTTTATTCTTGGATGAGCAGGGGGCCACAGCAAGCCCTTATTTTCCGGCCAACCGGGTGATCACAATCCCCAACCGTGCCAGCCTGGGTTTCTTAAAATAGAGACAGATCTTCGTCAGAATCTTCGCTTACTTGAAAATGTTTCCAGGCCAGGCCAAATTCCTCTTTGCACCACACACGGAGCCTACTTCAAACGCAATTTTTAACCGCGCATCTATAATGTGGTTCTTCTATCACTAGTACATGTTTCCCATTCTAGAAACCACCATGTGCATGGGATTTATGTCTGCTCCCGCAAGTACCCTCCTTCAGGGCAGGGCATCGGCACTTCGGCCGGCTAGACTCCGATCTGGGTCTGTTTCCAACTGGCCACAAAGTTGTTGGAGAAGTTTCTACAGAATATCGCTTATCTATTTATGTAATTGCCGGGCGCTTACGTGGGTACGTAGATATTACCGGTAATCCCAATGCAATCAGAAGGCACAAATAGAGAATGTTGGAGAAATGTTCCTAAAATACCTTGATACCAACTTATTAGGCCTCATGATTAACTTTTATTTTGGGGTTGAGAACGTGTTGGTTAGTCAGTTGGTGTGTATATTTCGGTTCTATTGTTCGAATTTGGTATTGGAAGCGGATGAGTGGGTACAGTATTGCCATGTGGGTTAGTTTCCTGCGTTTTTGGGATTTTGTGTTTGTTGGTTTGCCTCTGATCGAGACTGGTACGTCAGGAGGTGCAAGAATTTGTCACTGACCAAGAATAGACCATTTCGGCTCTCTGATCTTAATGCTTCTAGAACCTCAACTCACTCATTGAGAAAAGTTAAGTTTTAATTCTTCGACAATAAATACTGTTCTTGGAAGTCGGTGGAGTTCTGCAGCCTCTGTACCTGTACACAAACCCAGTACAACGTTAGTTAGTTGGGCGCCCCCCACCTCTCCGCCCCGCCTCCCTTGGCCAGATAACATCAATCACCCCGCAATATTATGGCATTTTATTACACTGCAGTTTCTGGCCTTCTTACCTCCTCATTTCACCCCTTTCACATAAGCACTTAATACATCTGTTAAGGTTATTTCTTGCAAGGTTACCAAAAGCCAATTTTGTCTCTATTTTCCCGTGTTTACATCACCAAATTGTCCACCTACTGCAAGGCGCAACCTACTGCAAGGGACAACATGTCGTTATTTGTCACTCCCCCAACAGACCTTCGAGGCTCGAAACACCTCTTTATTCTTTCCTTCGCCTCATAATTCAATCATTAGGAACTGTTGAAGTGGCTTGTGGTACTGTAGAGAAGGACAGCAGCTGTAAACAATGCCTAAACAATACCCTCATTGTCGTCAATGCGTAGGAAAATTTGTAGCTGTCAGCAATAATGACGCCCATGGTCAATTGTTGCGCCACGGGTTCTCGTTAGTCTGATGGTCGTAAACGAGAATAAAAGCTTACCTCTCCGCCAAGTACTTAGTTCGGTACAGGGCACCCTGCGTGAACTAACAGTTCAACCTCAGATTAATTTCGAACAGCAATAAAATCTTTTTTTTCTAACAGAGTAACTACTCGAGTAGACTAAATGAAGCAACATTGTACTTACTAGAACTTTATACAAGCCTTGTAGCAAACGATAGCGCAGAGGAAAGACGCACTGACTATTAAGTGTTATTACAGGGTCGTCAAAACCCTGAAAAACTGAGACAACGTCAAGACTTCACAAATGTGAGTGCCATATTTTATATGATTTTTCTAAGTTGAAACAATTAAATCGATTTTTTTCCAGCTAGTCGTGGCGCACCTTTCCGTCTATCAAGAATTATTCTAAAGTGTCATTGTGAAGTTGTGGTGGGTGTGGAAGTGTTTGGTGTGGTTCGTCTTGGCTGTATCACAAGGTCGGGGAACCATCAAATCAGAAACCACGAGCACGGCGAACGGATTTCAAAACCAGAGGGTAATTATCGTACGAGCAAAATGTGTAAAAGCCTCATCGCATCCAACAAACAAACTCCTGGAGTTCAATTCTCTTTGCGGAGTGTTCAAGTATTGGTACAACCCTCCACTCGGCGTTAAGCGAGCCCCAGCTGCTTGATAGGCCAGCTCGCACTACACCGGAGTGCCCCAACTGCACTCCGCCAATAAGTTATAACCACGACCGCTCGATTTGGTATCGCATATGCAACCTTACGCATTCAGCTTCCTTATCGGACAACATGTAAGGTAAGCATCGGTGACTTGGTGGGATAAGCTGTGCTGTGCCGCAAAAGGGTTTGCACCTCGATTTCTGAGTTGATTGAAGCTTTCCATCTTCATCACGGAAACTTCATTCGACTCGTTATTTCGAGGTGATATTGTGTGAAAATGGGGTCGCCTCCAGATACGACGCGCTTGTTGACCGAGACGGAGTCGAGGCGAACGTCGATTGATACGATTAATGACCTGCCAGATGAGAGTCTGCTGGAGAACGGGATTTCGGAGAGTCAACCGTTATGGGAGAATGAAGGTGGGGAAGAAGTGAAGAGTGTCTGTACTAAACATATGATTCTTTTGACCTGTGGAACTTTTGGGTATGTAGTATCACTCTATCTGTAGAACGAAGGAAGGGATGGGACTAATGAACCCCGCAGCTTACAAAATGTGTGGTCTCTCTTACTCGCAAATGGCACCGTAAGCTGGAATTCCCCCGCCATTAATCTTTGTTTCATATTAACACATTTTGTAGCCATATTTACTAGCTATCGGGTTTTCGAGATCAACCACGGCGTTGATATGGGCAGCCGGACCTCTTGCAGGAACTTTCATACAACCTTTCATCGGAACGATTTCCGATCAAAGTACCTCTAAATATGGCAAACGAAAGCCCTTCATCATAGCCGGAATAGTTGGTGCCGTACTTTCTATGATATCTATGGCCGTTATGCGTATCGCAGCCGCTAAATTTTATAATTGGATAGGACGGGAATATATTGGTGCGCATGTTACTCTTAACATGACTCGGGGTCTCGTTATTTTCTGGATCTGCATTTTGAATCTAAGTTTGCAGCCTATACAAGTTGGGCTGAGAGCGCTGGTCGTGGATAGTGTTCCTTCTCAACAACAGAGTGAAGCTAGTTCTTGGCTTGGAAGGTTTACGGGATTAGGAGGGATTGCTACGTATTTGCTTGATGGGTGGTTGATTGATAGATATGGGGATAAGACGTTTGAGATTCTGTGTATTGTTACGAGCTTGAGTTTGGTTATTACTAATCTACCTTGTTTGGTTTTCGCTAGCGAAAGGAAAGAGGGGAGGGAATTGGCGGGCGTCAAGCGGAGTTTTAGGGTGGGGAAGTTGTTTAAAAGGTTGATGAGTACGACGAGGAGGATGCCGAAGAGTATTGTGCATATTTGTGTTATTCAATTTGCTTCCTGGTTGGGATGGTTTCCGTTCTTATTCTACAACACAACGTAAGTACTCTCCCCTTAATCGAGAAGCTGTGAACTAATAGCTTACAGGTATATATCAGCACTCGACCCACATCACACCACGAGCAACATGAAAATCCACTCCAATTCTAGTGGTGTCCAAGCTTACCTCTTCTTCGCAATAACGTCATTCGTCTCTTCCATGCTTCTCCCTCTCATGATACCAACCGCAACCAACAAACCTATCTCAAACGGGCTCTCCACCATGATATCTTACCTCCACATCACCCTAACTAAACTTTGGATATTCTCCCAAGTCTTATTTGCAGCCTGCATGTTCTCCACGTCTATCATAACAAACACACTTGGGGGTACATTAATGGTAGCCATCGTTGGCATCAGCTGGGCACTTACACAATGGGTCCCTATGGCCATGATGAGTGCTGAGATTGCAAATATAAGGGAGGATGGAGAAGGAGAAGACGAGACAGGGACGCTGATGAGTGTTTTTAATGTTGCCATCTCAGCGCCACAGATTTTGGCGAGTGGGCTTTGTAGTGGGTTGTTTTGGGTGGTTAGAGGAATGGATCTTGTGGATTCGCTTGGGTGGGCGTTGAAGATGGGGGGTTTGGCAAGCGTAGTTGCGGCGGGGTTAATTGTTTTTAGAAAGTAGACTTATATACTTCTTACGTTAGAAAGTAGAAATATTAGAAGTAAGAATTATGTTTGTTCTTGGGGTGAAATGTCTTTCATTTCCACCTCAACTTCAGTGTCGCGCTACCAATACAGCTAACCGTTTCAAAACACTCATTCAAACATCCCTCTCGATTGCATCCGCCATAGGCCAATCTTCATTATGAAATAAAATATGCCAACCATCAGGGTCCTCAACCCTCAACTCACCTTTTTGCCAAGAATCATTGACATTGTCCATCGGTACATAGCCAGATTTCTCCATTCTCTCCACAACACCCTCCCAAGTCCCCTTATCCGGTTCATAAAACGTAAGATACAAGAAGTCATTAGGTGGTTCAAAAGTTTCAGCATCACCAGAATGTTTTCGTGTGAATACCAGCTGCCAGCGCCCATGTGGGAGGCACAAGGTCAAACCATCACGATCATCAATTCTCTGCACAGGGCAGAATTTTTTTAGTCCTAGACCATCCACATAGAATTTTTCAATGGAGGTTAGGCTGTGTGTTTTGCAAGTAACACGCATGACTGGTGATGCCATTTTGCGAGGACTCAAAAGCGCTCTGGATACAGTAGATTTGTAGAATGTGTTCAGAGTTAGAAAAACTTGGAATTTGGCAACTAGAAAAGATTTATTCAAGTACCGCTTGACCCATTTATATGTATTTCCCTATAACACATGATAACCGAACATGGGTAGGACTTAATCATGAGGAAGGAAGGGAATCAGTTTGATATAGGAAGACTGATTAAAATATACTAGTTACTTTGACTATCACAAGACTTAAAAAAACATGATCTGCTTGTATTTTCTTCTTCTTTAGGAAACTCGTCCCATTCTGATTCTGTGAAAATCGTAGAACAATTTACAAACTGGAGTGTTTACTTTTACTGCGAACTCTTTTCACCACTGCCGAGGCTTTCAAGGCTGGCACAGACCAGGTCGATAAGTTCACAGCCGCCAAACACGCTCACCTCCAATTTCACTTTTTTGCTGATACGACTCCAAGATTAGCTTCTGTTCTCTTGCCTCCCAAAAGTACTGGCTCTGCTCTCTGTTGACTCTACAATACCCACCGTGTACAACGGTATAAACGGTCGACGCATTTATCCCTCTCTCACCCAAACCCGGTCGAAATTTCCCCCCCACCAAAACCTTCTTTACCCCACCCACGCACGACATTCAAAACCTGGAAGCTCGATCTGACGATCACAAGCCTCGAAAGAACCAGGATTGGAGAGAAAAGGCAAACCCAAACCTCAGCCAAGTTTTCTGTGAACTGTTCTCGAACACCGTACTCCACATACGCGACTCTTCCGATACTATCAGTGGCCATGATGGCCGCACATCTTCGTGGGGGAAATGGAGACGGAAAGAGCTTAGGTCAGGCACTTAATGAGAACCCAAGTGGAACTCCTAGTGTTGCTGTTCCAGAGAAGAAGAAGAAGGAAAAAGTTGTGCTGGTGAACAGAGCTGGAGAGAGCAGAAGTCCGTATGTCCGGGCACATTCTTCTAATCCAGTCGCATGGCAGATATGGGGCGAAGAAGCTATAGATTTGGCTAGAAAAGAGAGCAAACTTTTGTTTGTGAGTATTGGCTATAATGCTTGCCATTGTAAGTTCCTGAATCATTGCAAAATACAAATGTTAACCAGTTACCAGGGTGTCATGTAATGGAGCGCGAGTCCTTCGAGAATGACGAGATCGCGACGATCCTCAATACCGAGTTTATACCTGTCAAAATTGATCGAGAAGAGCGGCCTGATATCGATCGAATTTACATGAACTTTGTACAAGCTACAACGGGATCGGGAGGCTGGCCTTTGAATGTATTCGTCACTCCGGACCTTGAGCCTGTTTTTGGTGGAACATATTGGCCTGGACCAACCAGCAGTACAAATTCCCATGAGGACCAAGTTGATTTTCTCGGAATTTTGAACAAGCTTTCAACGGTATGGAGAGAACAGGAGGATCGATGTCGGCAAGATTCTTCGCGGATATTACAACAGCTCAAAGATTTCGCCCAAGAAGGTACCCTTGGCGATAGATTAGGCGAAGGAGGGGAAGCACTTGATATTGAACTACTGGAAGAAGCATATCGAAATTTCATTTCAACATATGACCCTGTTAATGGTGGGTTCGGATCAGCACCAAAGTTTCCTACTCCCTCAAAACTTTCATTTCTTCTACGGCTGGGTCAGTATCCATCGATCGTACTGGATGTCATTGGAGAAGTAGGTGGTCAGAATTCAGAAAATATGGCAATAACAACACTTCGAAAAATGGCAAGAGGTGGAATTCATGATCATATTGGTTATGGATTTTGCAGATATTCCGTTACAGGAGATTGGTCCTTGCCCCATTTTGAGAAGATGCTTTACGATAACGCCCAACTGCTCCACATTTACCTCGATGCTTTCTTGCTCTCGCGAGATCCTGAACTGCTTGGAGTTGTTTATGATATTTGCACATATCTCACAACAACTCTGAGTCACCCTGAAGGCGGATTCTATTCCAGTGAAGACGCCGACAGTTACTATAAGAAAGGAGACTCGGAGAAACGTGAGGGAGCTTTTTATGTGTGGACCAAGCGAGAGTTTGAAAACATTTTGGGGCCTCAAGCAGAGCCTATTCTTTCTGCGTTTTTCAATGTTAGAGGTCATGGAAATGTATCTGCAGAGAATGATACCCATGACGAATTTCTGGACCAAAACGTTCTTACTATTGCAAACACGCCATCAACACTTGCAAGTACATATGGTATGAAAGAACAAGAAGTAGTAAAGATCATCAAGGATGGAAAGACAGCATTATTGGCGCATAGAGAGAAAGAGCGTGTCAAGCCAGATTTAGATGACAAGATTATTGTCAGTTGGAATGGTATTGCTATTGGTGCTTTGGCTCGAACTGCGGCTGTTATCAAAGGCTTTGATCCTGAGAAATCGGAGAAATATTTGGCATCATCGCTTAAGGCTGCAACTTTCATAAAAGAGAAACTTTACGAAGAGTCAACAAAGACTTTGTACCGCGTATGGCGAGAAGGACGTGGAGATACCGCTGGATTTGCGGATGACTATGCCTTCTTAATCGATGGTCTGATTGATTTATATGAAGCCACCTTTGACGAAGAATGGCTTCATTGGGCCGACGATTTACAGAGTAATTATCCAACCTCACTCTTTGCTTGCCATCTACTAACCCAACACAGAATCTCAGATTTCTCATTTCTACGACGTCGACGGAACTGGCGCATTCTTCTCCACCTCATCGTCCGCTCCCCACGTAATTCTTCGTCTTAAAGACGGAATGGATACTTCCGAACCATCCACAAACGGCACCTCATCATCCAACCTTTATCGGTTGTCATCTCTACTAAATGACCCATCCTACGCCCTCAAAGCCAGACAAACGATTCTTTCTTTCGAGTCTGAATTGATGCAATATCCGTGGTTGTTTGCATCTTTCATGCCCTCTATCGTCGCTAGTCATCTTGGTGTTAAGGGTGTGGTTGTGTCTGGTGACGGAGTCGCGAGCGAAAAGATTAAGGCTTTTGAACGGGCGCCTAGAGGAGCTTTGGAATGTTTTAGTAGAGTTTCAACCGGTGGACAGAATACATGGCTGAGAAAGAGGAATGAGCTCCTGAAGGATTTTGGACTTGATGGTAACCCGAGGGTGTTAATCTGTGAAAGGGGTGTCTGCAGAGAGGAAGGATTGGTGAGTGTACCGGATGAGACAGATGGTGTTGCCTCTAAGCCTATCGTTGAGAAGGCTGCTGTTGAGAAGTCTGTTGCTGAGAAGATTGCTCCGGCCGAGAAGCCCAATTCAGTTATTGTCGAGAACATCACTCCGGCGGAAAAGACAGAAAGAATTTCGAAGGATCAGACATCGGACGACAACTTCCTCCCTTTGACAGACAAGACCACTTCAACAAATATTCCCCCCTCCTCTACAACAACCCCCTCACCCAACCCACCACTTCCCTCAACACCAAAAAAGGAAGCACCATTGGAATTCCAGAAAATCCCGATAGAAACAAAGACCATCGTCGCTGCCCCCTTGGTCCTCGACCAAAACAAGACCACAACAGAAAGCACTAAAGCAAAAGAGGTCGTTCTTTCACAACCAGAACCTGGACCTGCTTCCACCCCTTTACCTGGACCGGAGAACGTGAAGCCTTGAGGAGGAGGTAAATCAACGATTGGGATTAGGGGAGAGGGAGAGATGGTTGACGAGAAGAAATGATTTCATGATATGCGAGAGCGCTGGCGTTAGATTTGCACGTATGGATTGAAATTATGGCGTTATGGAGGTTGGGGTTTGGCAGATGGGGAGAAGGGGAGGGGACTGATAGGTCTCGTGATTTTCATGGTACCCCTTTTTTTGTTAGGCGCGAGTAGTTCTTTTTTTTTCTTTTTTGTAGAGAGAGGAGGTTTCTTGGTCTTTAGACATACTGGTTATGGGAAAGTGAAATGAGTTGTAATGGGTCTATTTTCGAGATCATCCAATTCGAGACTCGGAATGTGGTATTTACTATTTCAATACAGAATAGTTTAGGGAGCTGTGAATAAACATCGGAAGCGAAACAAAACACCCTTCTCGTAAACCAAAACCAAAACGCCCAGCTTGAATTTTCCCATTTATCGAAAAACAACATTACCATTAAATTCAATTCGAACTAGTACTAAAATAATAATTATCCCACAAATACAAGTAATCATCCAACACACCACTAATCAAGCCAGGTAACCTCTCACTCGTCCTATGCAAAAAGCCCTTCGTAACGTTCTCGTAGAATGCACCTCTCATCGCCCACCAGCCCATTGCCCAGCCCCTTTTATTCCACTGCTCCCTCTCCAAGGCGGTTGTGCGTAGCCCGTCTTTCCGCAGTTGTCGCGCGGCGTACTCGACGCTCAAGCCTAACAGCCAGGGTTGCCAGTTCTTGGAGGACTTTGAACGGGACATGGCGATGGCGTAGATTACTGGTTGCAGAATGTGGAGGATCTCTGCGAGGTGCGCGGAGCCGTGGAGTTTGTTTAGGAGCGTGGAGGGGGATTTGATGTCATCTGCCGTCAAGACTTTGGATAGCAAGTACGAGGAGATATCGCTACTCTTTGGTAAACTTGGTAGCGAGAGTCCCGTCCTCTTCATTTTATATTCCTTCTCCAGGATCTGCGGGTGGGGACGGCCTTCGATCTCAGCTTCTAGGAACGCCTCCTCGTCTTCTTCGTCCTCCTTCTCGTCTTCCGGGATGAGCTCGCGTTCTGGGAGCGCGGGGGTGACCAAGGGTCGGGAGTTTGTGATTTTTAAGAGGAAGAGCCGACAGAATGCTTTGATTGCTTCTAAAAGAACTACCACCCGCCATCGTGTCTTCGTCCCCTTGCGTTTCGCGGTCATTTCCCAGAGGAGCTCGGTATACTGCACTATCGCTAATATCGTCGCTACCCGCCGGTAGAATTTACTCTTCTGGATCCAGAACTTCGTGTACCGGTTATGGAAACTTTGTTGCTTCGGCGCGCCGGGGAGTTTCGAGAGGGAGCGTGTGAGTAGCGTGTCGTGGTACATGGAGAGTAGTTGGATGGATGAATGTAGTGATTCGGATGCTAGCTCGGCGTCCCGGAAGCGGCCCGGGATGATGTAGGTTAGGGAGCGCAGCGCGGATTCGATCTGGGTTACGGAGGATTGGTGGGTGGTTATGAAGGTGCTGTATGCGGAGAGCCATTTTGTTGGGGGAGTGGTGAGAGCGTGGGGGAGGGAGGTGGAGTTGGACATTCTTGGGGATGGGCGCGTGGGCCTGGGTATGTGGTAAGGAGCGTTGCGATGGTGGTTTGAAAGGAAAAAATCGAGAAAGGAAACGGGGGTGATGGTTGGTTGGACGCAGGTGTTGTCGTGTTTTTCGTCTGATGGAGGTATCTCTCCAAGCGAAGGTTTAGGGGAGGCTGGCGTTGGCTGATTGCCTCGGCTTCGATACGTTGGCACGTGCCTCACCCGACCTCACTCTGGGCGCCTGTGGCTGCGGCGATCATTATCGGCGATAAGGATAAGGACGGACGGGAACAATGAATGACGACCTCAGTAGCCCCGTGTAGGTATTTAGCCTTATCAAGTACGACGACGTCTCTTCGCGAATAAACAACTACATCCATCACAATGCCACCTAAACGTCGGCGCTCAGGCGCAAGCAACAACAGACACCCTCCTTCAAAAAGAACTCGAACAATCGCTCCCAATAACCGTCTATCCTCCCTCTCCTCTGAGCTCATTATCCGCATCCTCCACCACCTCCCACTAGAGACTCTCCTTATATGCCAAACCCTCTCACACAGATTCTACACCTTAACCTCTGATTCCCAAATATGGAAATCTCTCTACTACACCCGCTTCGTTCTTCCTCGCGCGCTTAGAATTCCCGGTATCAAATCCAATGCGCCATCCTACTCAAGTCGCCTGAGTAAATGGCTGGATGACGAGGTGCTGGTTAATAGGAAAGACGGGAATAAGACGCAATGGAAGGGGCAATATAAGTTGAGACACAATTGGAGTCGGGGTGCTTGTGAAGTGAAGGAGATTAAAGTTAGTGAGACGCCGTCGGTACCTGGGATGTTGGTTAAGCTTGCGGAGGGGGTGGTGATTACGGTTGAGAAAGAGGATGGGTTGAGGGCCAGGGATTTGAAGGGGAAGGAGATTGCTGCTTGTGGTTTGGTGGGGGTGCCGACTTGTGTTGCGATTGATGAGGGTGATGTGAGGAAAGGGCTGGGAATTGCGATTGGGTTCCAAGACGGGGGATGGGGTTCTTGGAGATTGGATGTTGGGAGGAAGGTTTTTGAAAGGGTTTATCGACATCCGGGGGGTAGTAATGGGATGTTGAACGCGATTGCTTTTACCAATCCTTATGTTCTTACGATTACCGATTCCCAGCTGTTATCACTTTACACGTTTACACCTATCCCGAAATCAAAAGATTTATCAGAAGACCTCATTTCAGAATCAACAACACCGGACTCAGAGACAAAGACTACCACGAATTCAAAGAATTTATCAAGAAATACAACATTAGAATCTACAAAATCAGATTCAGAACCAAATAAGCAAATCCCCATCTCAAACCCCTCACAAACCCCCCACCTCCTCGCCTCCCTAAAATCACACACCAGCAANGAACCAAATAAGCAAATCCCCATCTCAAACCCCTCACAAACCCCCCACCTCCTCGCCTCCCTAAAATCACACACCAGCAAAACCCCCCTCAGCCTCTCAATCCGCCCCACCCTCACAACAATAATAGCAAGCATCGCCTACACCCTCCCCACCCTGCACCACGGAACCCTGATAGGACTCCAAGAACTCCACATCTCCCCCCTCTCAGGAACAATAACCTCCTCACGCCTCACATCCGCACTCCCCGGTCCGCGACCCTGGATCCCCTACACCCACTTCCCATCTTCCGTCCAATACCCCATGAACTCCATCCGCTCCATCTCCTCACTTTCCTACTCACACCCCTATATCCTCGCCACACACGCGGATAACACACTTTCCCTCTATTTATGTACCTCCACGCGCGAGAAACTGGAGGTTGGGGAGGGGACGAGGTTATTTGGTCATACGTCTTCTGTTGCGTCGGCGGAGATTACGAGTCGTGGGAAGGCGGTGAGTGTTAGTACCCAAGGTGATGAGTTGAGGGTTTGGAGTCTTGAGGGGGGGTTCTCGACGAAGGGGCCGAGGGGTGGGAGTATACGGATTTTGAAGAATAGGGATGGAGATTCAGAGATGAGGCGTTGTGTGGAAAGGGATATGTATGATATGAGATACCAGGGAGTTGGCGATGGGAAGGAGAATCGGTGGACGAGTACCTGGCTGGGATTTGATGATGAGGTTGTGGTTGTGCTTAGAGGTGAGGAGGGGGGTGGACAGGCGGTTGTGGTTTATGATTTTACGTAGCTGCGAGGTTATTTTTGATCTATAATAATTACAAGTAAAGATATTATCTTGGATTTATAAGGAGATATACTATTTAACATACAGCATTGACTCTTGGTTTTGTTTACTCTCTTGCCTTTCCTCGCTTAGCTATGGCTGTAGTATGAACCTTACCAAGAACCCTACCACACCTCCTTTTCCTTCCTCCCTAAACACACTATTCTCCATCCCCCAGAGGCTACAATCTGCATGGCTACATATCCAAACCGCGCAATCACAAATGACAAATACTGGAGACTGACCAGTAAAAACCAGACATCCTTTGAGTCACAAACCTTCAGCGTTTGGTATTTGGAATTCCTTTCTACTCCAGACCCCCCCTCTAGAAGGATTCTATTCTATTTAATATATTAATAGAAGGATTCCATTTTAGACCCCGTAATTCTATAGAATTTCTAGAATTTCTAGCTAGAAATTATTACATAACCGGATAAATATACTTCTGCTTCGTAGACTAATAAGAAGTCCCGTAATCGTAGGCGTAGTACTACTAGTCCTACGTAAGCTCCAGAAGTAAGTGTATTTAATTAGGTAGTTATTTTTAATTAGGCGTTTCTAGCCTGTACGGTATAGAGGCGATTTAATTAGTAGAACAAGGGTTCGCGAGGAGTATTAATACTACCTTAGGTACGTGATACCCTCGAATAGCTATGTAATACTATATCTTCTAAAAATTATAGTAATTTATAACTAATTCTAATTAACTTACTTTGAGTATTATTAAAAAGCCTTAATCGTATATATTCTATATCTCTAACAAGGAATAGTAATAGTAGATAACAAGGGTATAAATCTACTAGCGACTTATATATAGTTATTCCTTCCTAAGATTAAAGATATACCTAACCTACCCTTATCTCTACCTACTATCCGAATACCCTATAAGTGTATGTCACGGATGCCAACAAAGGATAAAGTGTATACAGCTTTTGAATCAATTGCTAGAACTAAAACCGTAAGTACGAAGAAATCAAACTAAAGAGAGAAGAGAATCTGAAAGGAGCAAAGTTATTTAAGTTGTTCCAATGGCAAGTCTCGTCACGTGCTTGGCCAAGAGAATGAAATCCTGTCAAATGAAATCCAGCTCCGTCACAATAACCTTAATTCTTATTAGAATAATAATCTAGGTCGAAGTATATAGATAATAGTAGGAATAGTAGTAATATAGAAAGAGAGACTAAATATTTTAATAAGTATTAAATAGTAGCGTTGGATAATATAAGGTAAAAATATATATAACTTTTACCTACTAATAATTTTAGTATAGTTTATATATATTATATTAGTAATTAACTATTAAAGACTTTTTAATTAAGAATAAATACAAAAGCTACTATTTAGAAGGTTTATTATAATAATATATTCTTACTTTTTTACTTTTAAAAAAGACAGGCCTAAAAAGTACTATAAAATACTTACTAATCTAACTATTATTTATTACTAAATAGTACTAAGGTATTACTAAAGTAAGCCTTAGCTCTTTTAGTAGTATCTAGCCTTGTTCTAACCTCTATATTAGCTTATCTAAGAAACTCTTAGTATATATTAAAGTTCTTATACTTAAGTTATACTTATAGTAGTATTAAATAAAAGCCTTTAAATCAATAAAACTCTTTTTAATAAGATTAAGATCTAGGGGATATAAAGAAAAGAATAGAATAAGTACTCCTTTATAAAAATAGGCTCTTTTAATAATATTTGTATTTATATTGTAGACTAAGGCGTTATCTATAATTATAACTAAATAAGGTCTTAGATAAGTATTATAAAGTATTAGAATGTTCTTAATAATAAAGCTATAAATATTAGTAGCATATTAATTTAGAGAGAGTAAACTTCCTCTTTAAATAAATTACTATCATATATTCCTAGAAAGGTTCTTACTATAATATATCTATCTATTATATATAAGTTATAAGAAGTATAAATATGTCACGAATCACGTGCTCACGTGATACTTGTCATAATAAAGAGGCGCAACCCTCGACAGGCACATCCAGGTTTCTTATA